TAGGTAAACCAAATGAGATGGGATAAAGAGAGGAATGAAAATAGGAAGGAAAGAGAAGAAGGGACAAGTGGTGTAACGGGGTCGTACTCTCACACTCCTGACACAGGAGAGCATGACCCTGTAGTCAGCGTACAGGACCGATGCAGAGCTAGGCCGCTCACTTAAGGCACGCTGCTCTGTCCTTGGAGATATGCAAGCCAAGGTAACGACACAGCTCTTCTAGATAAGTGCAGGTGTGTCTCATCAGCAGCTGAGCCTTCACGAAGGCCACTGCGTCTGTGTCTGCAGTAGCAAAGACCATGTTGTCTACGTAGACAAGGATGTAGAATGGGGTCTTGCCAACACGAACGAAGAGAGAGGGGTCTGCAGACGACGGAAAGAACTGCATGTCAGCTAACGTAGCATGAAGCGTGTTGTGCCACTCGTGCGGCGCCTGCCGCAGGCCGTAAACCGGGCGCCAAAGGAGCCACTGGGTCCCTGGGGTGAAGGTGCCGGTGAAGCCAGGCGGGAGACTTAGGTAGACCTACTCATGCAGACTGCATTGAAGAAACATTGTAGAGAAGCCGAGAGATTGCGGCTCGTAGTCAAGCTGTGCTGCTACGTGTAACAGCAACCCGAAGAGTAGTCATCTTCGGGGTCGGGGCGAAGGTCTGAAAGAAGTCAACACTCTCACGCTGACTGAAGCCTCTAGCAACGTAGCGCGCCTTAAACACCGACGGCTCTCCAGGAGGGCGCTTCACCTTGAAGAGCCACCGGCCATTGACCACATTCACCCCAGCTGGGGGAAATGCGTCGATGTAGGTGCCGGTGGATCTCCAAGATGCCATCTTCACTTCCATGGCAGCTATCCACTAAGAGGCCCAAAGTCCCAAGGTCGCCTCCGCGTAAGTGCAAGGGGTCGGGATGTCAAGGGTTTAGGCGTCTGGGTCCCCTCAGGGACTAGCAGCATGAGGCGCGGCCTGGGACAGGAAAGCAAGCTCGTACTGCCGGTCCTCCAAACCGTCACTGCCAAGGGCAGGAGCACCTCCAACAGACAGGGAATGGGCAGGGTCAGAGACCAGAGCGGTGGCATAGTCAAGGCGGCGGGTAGAGGCAAAGTCAACGACGACAGCGACAGCGCGTCAAGACTCGAGACAGGAACAGATGGGTCGAAAACAAAGGAGGCATGGACTCGGGGAACAAGAGGACTAGCGGTACAAAGGAAGTTAGACAAAGGAGGCGGAGCGACAACAAGCGATGATGGAGGAGTCGACGAGAGGAGGGGAGGATGAGACGCGTGGGAACAAAGCAACATAGGGTGAGAGCGCTGAACAAGAGAGACAGGACGAGCACGGAAAGGGCGACGAGACCAGGCGTGAGACGGAGGCGTCAGGTCACGAGACATAGGAGGAGACACAGGAGGTGAACGAGGGGGAAAATGAGCTGGAGATGAGTGCGGCACAGGAAACAAAGGGCCGTGGTCAGGAAGGGGAGGCGGCGGCGGGGGAGGCGTGGGTGGGCGGTTAGGGGAGGGAAGATCGAAGAGGTGAAGGGCGGAAACTGGCTGCGACTGCTGCTGCTACGCCACACCAACTCCAGAACCTCTAGCTGCACCATGTGTACCTCCGGAACGCTCCTATCTAGCACCCGTAGAACAAGAACTCTCTCAAGCACCGGTGCCACCCCCAGGACCGCCGGGATGAGCCACGACAAGAACCCCATGACTAGCAACCCCAGAACCAGCACCCCCTGAACGAGAACCCTCTTCAGAACCGGTGCCATCCCCGAGACCGCTGGGACAAGCCACGACAGTAACCCTAGGTCTAGCACGCTCCTCAACGCCAGCACGCCCAGAACATGCGGACCCCTGCGACGGCTGCGGCTACGGTGGCGGCTGCTGATGCTGCAGATAGGCGGCGAAACCGAAGCCGCAGGACCCCCGGAGTCAGCCAACTCCTCCACCGTGACTACCGACGGGAGGGGAGTGACGTGAGACACACCAGACGGGGCAGGACGGGGAGGGAGAGGAGCAGAGGCTATTGGGAGAGTGGGAACCAGAAACAGGGGTGGGGAAACCGGGAGACCTCGGTGAGGAAAGCGGTGGTAGAGGGAGACAGACTCGTCAAAAGTGACGTCACACGAGTGAAAGAAGCAGTGAGAAGGCGGGTGGTAAAAGTGCCAGTCACACACGTTAAGGGGGAAACCAAGGAAGACACTGGAGACAGTGCGGGCCGTGAGCTTGTCCGTGCTAGAGGCACAGACGTGAGCGAGGCAGCCCCAAACATAGAACGCAGATGAATCACCAGGGAACCCGGTCCAGAGGAGGGTCGGCAAAACCTGCGGCCACTGGGAGTGCGGCCCCAGGTTAAGCTGGTGAGAGGCTTAGCGAACAGCGAACTGACACAGAAAATTGGGTGAACCGGCATGGATTATAGAGATACGAGCCACCTCCATGACAAAACCGATTCATCGCTCAGCTACCCCATTCTGTTGCGGGGAGTCCGGCAGGGTGTATGATTGGGTGATGCCCTCCGCACGATGGAATTGGCCAAGCCGACCGGAGGCAAACTTGCCGCCACGATCGGAGTGGAGACGTGGCAAAGGGAGGCCATGGTGGTCTCACACAGCTACGACCCCCGAGATAAGAGCGTCAGGCACGTCGGCCTTTCGATCCAGGGGAAACATTGTGGTGTAGCACGTATAGTCGTTGACAAGCACTAGGAAATTGCGCACTCGACGCGATCCAAGGACGGGGGCTGGGCCCCAAACGTCCAGGTGCAAGGTCTGGAGTGGTGCAATTTTAGGTGAAAGTGAGGAGGAGTGAGGAGCACGACGCAGCCGGCCCTCGTTGCAAGGCGTGCACGGCAGCGCAGGTGAGGGAGGGAGGGCAGGGAGTGACGCAGGGAGACCAAAGATAAGACCGTGATGGGACATGTGACGCAGACGCGGGAGGGCGGGGTGATCTAGGCAGTGATGCCACAGAAACAATGGGTGAGTGAGCGACCTGGGTCACCGCAGGCACCTGAGGGGATGCCCCTACCGGGGGGGAAGCAGTGTCAAGCGTAAATAGGCCAGACACAGGGTCTTGGGGGAACGTGGTCAAATGAGCACTAGTGGCAGCCTCAGTACAGTCCACGTACCGCTCGTGTCCAGGGAACCTAGTGGTGACGCCGAGGTCCTGAAGACAGCTGACACCAACTAAATTCCTGGAGAACGAGGGGATGTGCAAGCCTGTAAGAGAGCCCGAGGGGACCGCCGGACAGGGAAGGGTAGTGGAACTACGGGCAACTACCGGACCTTAGGAGGGGTCTGCAAGCGCTACAGCGGTGGGGGCAGCAAGCGGTGTGAACGGGGCCAGCGGGGCGAACGGGGCCGGCTGGGCGCATGGGGCTAGCGGTCAGGGCTAATTTTCCGTTTTTCAAGGCCCAGGGGTCTCAGGATTCGCGCTACCAAAGACCCTGAAAAATCAGCATTCCCTGGAAAATCGCTCTTTATTTCAGGATCATTTCGAGCTTTCAGTTTGAAATAAATAGTGTTTTGTGCCACGCCCGGCACATCAGTAGAACTTGTGGGCAGTCTGAGTAATCACAACCAGGATAGATGGAACGAACTATGGAAGAGAAGACAGAACAGTCACTTTTAGCTACAGTACATGCTGTCCCTCACCACCACACCACCAAGTTCGACTCTCAGCTTGTCCATCGGGACAGAAATGCCAACGTGCGCAGCCTGGCTAAGGTGGGGTGGTTGGTCTGACAGCCCTACACTTAGTGCGGCTGAGAAAGTTCCACAGGTTGTACCTTCAGATTCCGTAGAAAACTGGTCAGGGGTACGTCGGTTGTGGGGGAGCGGGTGTTGGGGGTTGCAATTCCAGTCGGGTGGCCAGGAGAATATTTCGTCCAATCTAGATTGCTCAGGGAATCCCTCGAAAACGTCCGGAATCAGGGCGAATTCTTATGAAGTAGGACCAGAATCAAGAATGTTTATGATCCTGCCGTTTTACTACATGCGGATCAACAATTCTGTAAAGCGATCGCAAGTGAATTTCGCGTGGGAACCTGGATACTTCGCACGATCCTACATGTACACCCGTCACTTTCAGCACAAAATTCACTTCGACTGCCCAAACTTGACCACACAAGCTTACAGTACAGTTGCAAACTCCTCGCCACGCATAACCAGACTGGTGGGAAACGTGTGCTCCAATCACGAGCAAAGGAATTCACATACCGAAATTCGAAGCCAGCAGAAACACAAACGGAATTCGTTTTTGTGCCCGTCGCGTTCTGTATATGGGTTTTCTTCTTTTTAGAGTTCCGCTTCGTTGCACGTCGCGCGTCGGCGCGCTTATGCCACGCGGCGCTTCCTTAGCGCTCGTTGGGTGCTGTCTCGAATGTGTTTGTAGGGGCAGCCAATCAGAGGTCCCTGTGCGACGCTGTGGTGGCACCATCGTTTCTAATCTTAGCGTTGAAGACCGGGCAACGGGATCAAGAATGAATTTCACGTTTCTGATTCTGATCCTACTTTGAAGGAGTTCGCCCTCAGTCATGATGTTTGGAAGACCGAAACCCTTAAAATCAGGATTTCCGCAGGAAAGACCCGGAATGTACCTGACATTCCGGATGTTTACCCCCTGAACCGAGAGCCCTGCTAGCGGGGCGCGACGGGGCCAGCGGGGCGCTAACGGGGCCAGCGGGGCGAACCGGGCCAGCGGGGCGTACGGGGCCGGCGGGGCGCACAGGGCCGGCGGGGCGCACGGGGCTAGCGGGGCTCGACGGGGCCAGCGGGGTGCTAACGGGGTCAGCAGGCCGAACGGGGCCAGCGAGGCGTACGGGGCCGGCGGGGCACACGGGGCTAGTGGGGCTCGACGGGGCTAGCGGGGCGCTAAGGAGCCAGCGGGGCACTAAGGGGCCAGCGTGGCGCTAACGGGGCGCTAACGGGGCGGCTAAGACTAGGCCTAAGGCGGAAGCGCGGGTCGGCGGAGGGGACCTAACCTAGCGTGATACGGATACCATATCAAAGTGAGAATGAATGACTAGAATGATGCAAACAGGTTGGTTTTGTCTAAGGGGTTGTACCCTCTAAGAGTACACACCTATCTAGCCTATAAGACATATACAAATATGTTTGACACCTTGTCCCTGCAAAGGCAAGGGAACTCCTATGCGCAGAAAAGAAAAGCATGACATCTCAATTGAAGACACGCCTAAAAGACGACTAACAGCAAGATTCACAAGCAGCACAACAAGAGATGTTACGTATGGCTACTGCAGCAGCAGCTGCGGTTGAAAAAATGGCAGGAACATGGTTGACCCATTAGGATCATGCCCTGTAGCTACCCCTCCTCTCCCAAAAGCTGCTGCCAGAACGCCTCATCAAACAACCTCTGTCGCAGCAGGCTCGTTCCCTGCCGCCAGCTGTCCTCACTCAGCAGCTGCTGCCAGAATGCCTCATCGTCACCCTCCCCCTCGCCCCTGAACAGCAATGACGCACCCTGCTGCACCACACTCGCAGCTGTAGAGGCTGTAGCAGCAGTGCCCAAGGTACCAGCAGGATCATGCCCTGTCGCTACCCGTCTTCCTCCCTCAGCAGCTGCTGCCAGAATGCCTCATCGTCCCCCTCCCCCTCGCCCCTGAACAGCAGCGATGCACTCCGAACCTCCCTCAGACTCTCGCCTGTAGCACCTGTAGCAGCTGTAGCATCTGTAGTAGCTGTAGCAGAGCTAAAGCAGGTACTCATCGCAGCAGCTGTAGCAGCAGTGTCTGCATCAGTGCCGGCTGTAGCAGCATCAACAACACTGTCACTAGCTATAGTGGCAGCAGTGGCAGCCGTAGCAGCTGTGGCAGCTGTAGCAGTGGGGAGTGCTGCCAAAGAGGGCGGAGCCGCAGCAAGGGTGGAAGCAGCAAGGGTAGAAGCAGCTAAGGCAGAAATGATGGGAGGAGGAGCGAAGGTAAACAGGTTAGGAGCACCAGGGGGGAGAATAGGTGGAGGAGCAAGGGTGGGCGGGACGAAGGGAGCGAGAGAGGGAGTACGGGAGGCGCCAGCCGACGTGCAAGGAGTGAGGGGCGGGCGAGAACGAGTGGTGATGGCGGGAGGGAGGAGGACGGGAGGGCCGAGGGTAGATGGAAGGTGGGGTATGGAGGGAGGACGCATGGTGGTGGGCATACATTGAGCCGCCTCAGCAGCAAAGAGCTCCGCTGGGGAGAGGGATGGGGAGGTGGAGAGGTGAGAGGAGGAGAGGTGTGAGAAGGAGAGGTGTGAGGAGGAGAGGTGAGAGGAGGCGACGTGAGAGGTGGACAGGTGGGAGGAGGAGAGGTGGGAGAAGGATGAGTGGGGCAGAGAGGAAGAAAAAGGCAAGGAGGGCGGAGGGGAGGTGAAGGGGGTGGTCGACACAGGAGGAGCAGATGCGGCAATAAACGCTGACGTCATGGGAAGAGTAGCTGACCCCATGGCTATAGAAGCTGACGTCATGGGGAGAACAGCTGACGTCATGAGTGAAGGATTGCAAGCCAGGGAGGTGGGAGAAGGTCGGATATGGCCCATAGGAGAGGTGTGGCCTGTAGGAGGAGCGGAATAGCCTATAGGGCGGATAAGACCTGTAGGGGGACCTATAGGCCCGATGGGCTTAATGTGCCAGATGGGACTGCTGATGGGATCGATGGGGGGTGAGGCAGGGAGAGCAGCGGCTAGTGAGGAAGCGAGGCTAGGCTTTCCCCCAGAAGCTGCTGTCACCCCTGCTGATGCTGCTGCTGCCGCCGCTGCCGCCGTTGCTGCCAGCGCTGCTGCTGACGCGGATAGTGAGATGGGTGCAGATTGAGGGTTCAAGAGAGGAGTGGAGCGGGAGGGAGGAAACGAGGTAGAGAGAGGAAGTGAGTGAGAGAGAGGAGCCGAATGGGAGAGAGGAGAAGGGTTGGAGAGAGGAAAAGATCCTGAGAGAAAAATGGAGTTGGAGAGAGGAGTGAGGGACGCAGCAGCAGCAGCCGTAGTGGGTGCGCGTGTGATTGGCAGCGGCAGCGGCTGTTGCAGTGGCAGGGGGATTTGGCACGTGGGAACGCCGGCAGACGCTAGAGCAGCAGCAGCAGCAGTTGCAGTAAACGCTGCTCCTGTGCTCACTATAGGCGGTCTAGGATAGGCTTGAGAGTGCTCGAAGGCAGCAGCTGCGGCTGCTGCAGCAGCAGATGCAGTAAACGCTCCTCCTGTGCTCACTATAGGGGATTTAGGCACGCCTTGAGACAGTGGGCGGAGGAGAGCGGACGAGGCAAGGGCTGCTGCTGTGGCAGCAGCAGCGGCAGGAGCAGCAGCTGGCTTGGCTAGAGACGCCTGAAGCGCGGACAGAGAGGCAGCGGAGAGTGCAGCAGAGGACAGAGCAGCAGCAGCGAGAGGGGCAGCAGCGAGAGCAGCAGCAGACATGGTTCCTGTTGTCATAGGTGACACTATAGGTGGCACTAGAGGTGACACTATAGGTGGCACTACAGGTGGCACTATAGGTGGCAGGCCGAGGGGCGACAGCAGGGGCGACAGCACGTTTGGCAGTATGGGTGAAAGCAGGGAGGGAGGTACCACGCCCAGGGAGCTGCCTTCACCAGATAAGCCTCGTGCCAAGAATGCTGCTGTCCCTGCCAAACCTCCACCTGCTAAACCTCCCCCTGCCAAACCTCCCCCTGCCAGACCCACTGCTGCTGTCCCTGCTAGTATCCCTCCTCCCATTCCTGCTGCTGTCCCTGCTAATATCCCTCCTCCCATTCCTGCTGTTGTCCCCATGCCTGTTCCAAATGCTGCTGCTGCTGCAGAGGTACCTGCAGCCAATGCTGCACTTGATGCAAACACCCCTCGTGCCATAGCGCCTGATGTTCCTATGCCTGTCCCTACTGCTGCTGCTGAAGCAGCACCTGCAGCTGATGCTGCTCTGGATGCTGCCAGTGACGCCGCCAAGCCAGGCACGCTTCCCACTGGTGACGAGCCAGCACCAGCAGCACCACCACCAGCAGCTGCTGCTATAGCCGCTGCTCTTAGCTCTGCTGCACTTGGCTGCGCCAATGCGGCTGCTGTTGCTGCAGCTGACGCCACTGCTGGAGCCACAGACGGAGCGACAGCTGCTCTTGTTGCAGTGCCTGCAGCAGCAGCACCTGCTGCTGATGCCGCTGCTGCTGTTGCTGCTACGGCTGCTGCTGCTGCTGCTGCTCGGATCTGTGCTGCTGCCAGTGCTCTCATCTCCCCTGCTCTCAGCTCGTCAGCCAATGGTGCTCTTGCTGCTGCCGCTGTTGCTGCCGCTGTTGCCGTTCTTGCTGCTGTTGCCGCAGTTGTTGCTGTTGCTGCCGCAGTTGTTGCTGCTGCAGTCGCACCTCCCCACCCTCCCCCGTTGCCCGCACCCAGCAGCCGCTCTTTCAGCGCAACATCCATCGCTGCTTGCGATTTTTGATGCACCTCAAAAACCCTTTCTTTCAGCGCAACGTCCATTGCTGGTTGCGTGAGGACAGAGGGAAGAGCAGTTGGAAGGGTAGGAAGACCAGCCGAGGCAAGGGCTGGGGCTGAGATAGGGAGACGAGCAGAGGCAAGGAGAGCAGCCGAAGATAAAGAAGCAGACGCAGACGCAGACGCAGACGCAGACGCAGACGCAGACGCGGGGCCAGACTCAGGGGCCAAAACAGGCACGAGCCCTAGCCTCTGCTGTTCCAGTAGCAGCAGCTGTTCCTCCTGCTTCTGCAGCAACAGCAGCTGCTGCAGCTGCTGCTCCTCCTCCTCTTGCTGCTGCTGCTGCAGCTGCTGCAACTGCTCTCGTCTCGCAGCTGCCGCTGCCGCCGCTGCTGCTGCCCCCCTTGTGAGTATATCAGGAGAAAATTCCCCCATGTTTTTGCCGTAAAATAGCCCCTTTTCCCAAGCAGCAGCAGCAGCAGCAGCAGCTGGCCCCAGTCTTTCAGTGGCGTTTACAGGGGCGCGCATGCTCCCTCCCTCTTTAACCCGCTCACCCCCCATCATCAATCTCAGATACTGCGCTCCCATGCGCCCTTGCAACAACCCCAGCCCGTCCATCCCTTGCGGCGCCTCAAGACCCGCACCGACCCCATCGCCAAACACCCTCTCATACGCAGACTCTGCTCCATCCGCCCCTGCAGTAGCAGCTGCCACAGCAGCGCTGGCAGCAGCAGCGCCCACGGGAGTGAGGTATGAGACAAACTGCCCCCCCATTACATCGAATCGCTCCATAGTGAATCCTGGGGGTGGCGAGCGGTCGAACGGGTTGGCTAACAGCTCGCTGAAACCGTACTCGTTATAAGCGGTCTCGAGACCGTCCGCGGGCTCGCGCTGCTGCTGCTGGGTGCTCATGCTGTTGTTGTTGGCAGCGGCTTTATCAGCAGCAGCAGCAGAGGCAGATGCTGCAGCAGTAGATGCAGCAGCAGCCGAGGCAGCAGCATCATCAGCCTTACTACCAGCGGCAGCAGCAGCGGCGGCTTTACTACCAGCGGCAGCAGCAGCGGCGGCTTTACTGCCAGCAGCAGCGGCTTTACTACCAGCAGCAGCAGCAGCAGCAGCGGCCTTACTACCAGCAGCAGCAGCAGGGGGATAAAATAGGTGATGCATGTCCGCTCCTGCAAGGCCAGGGAGAAAGCTCTTGGAAGGCGGCGAACCAACATGGTCAAACCCAGGGGAAGTGACATTCCCCCCACCTAGGCCAGCTGCACCTTCACCAGTTGCACCTACACCAGCAGCACCTACACCAGCAGCAGCCGCAGTGCCAGCACCCCCCCTCCTCGTTCCACTCCCGCTCCCAACTCCCATGCTGCTGCTGCCACTGGGCCCCCCGGTGCTCCCGCCGCCGCTCCCCCCGCCGCTGCTCCCGCTGCTGTTCTTGTGGCGCTTGAAAAAAATCTGCGAGTGCATGCCCATGTTGCCCGGCCCAGTCACGAAGTATACACCCCCCCCTGCGGCCTTGCTGCCGTGGGGGGGAAACAGATTCACTCCCGCACTCGCACTTACTCCCACTCCTCCCCTTCCTCCCATTCCTCCCATTCCGCCCTCCCCGTCACCCATGCCCATGCCCATGCCCGCTCCCATGCCCATGCCGGCTCCCATACCGTTTAAGATGAAGCCCATGCTTCGGCTGTCAAAGCCCCGTTTATGCGTGTTCCCTCCCCCCATCCGCCCATCCCTCCCTCCCTCCATAACTCCATCCGTGGCCCCATCCGTGCCCCCATCCAAGCCCCCATCCGTGGCCCCATCCACATCCATCCCCGTCACTCCCGCCGGAGCCTTGGCGCTAGCAGCTGCAGCAGCAGTCGCAGCAGCAGTGGCAGCAGCAGTGGCAGCAGCAGTGGCAGCAGCAGTGGCAGCAGCAGCGGCAGCCGTAGCAGCGATATCAGAAGCACCGACAGCAGCACCAGCACGACCATTAGTGCCGATACCAGCCGCACGGAACCCAGCAGTAACCGCTATCAACCCCTCAGGACTCCCCTTCCCACCACCACCACCGGTGCCATACCCCCCTCTACTATCACTCCCGCTCACACTCACATCCCTGCCACTCCTGCTCCCACTCCTCCCCCCTCCATTGCTACTGCTCCCACTCGCACTGATACCACTCCTCTTGGGACTCCCCTTGTTCACCCCAACCCCATTCCCCCCAGGTCCTCCAATACCCGCGCTCCCGCTCCCACTGCTGCTGCCCTCCCTGCTCGCCCGCAGCAGCATTTGCCCCTGAAGCTGCGAGATCCCTGTGAGGAAAGTCGGGTTGTTGAGCGCGTGAGCGAGAAACGCCGTCATGTGTTGCTGCCGCTGCTCCTGCGCCGCCATGTTGGCCTCTAAAAGCGCCATCTTCTCTGCGCTGACCACTGCCTGCTGCCGGGACCGCAGGAGCTCGCGCATCAGCACGCCTCTGTCGCGCCGCAGCTGGCTCAGCTCTTCCGAGAGGCCGAACGCGCCCAACTCCACCATGTTTTGAGGCACCCCGCCATTGGAAAGCTGCTGCTCCCGCTGCTGGTCGCGCTGCTGGTTTCCTCGCATCAGCACTCCTCCCATGTCCCCCTGCAACTGGCTCGGCTCTTTGGAGAGGCCGAGTGCGCCCACCTCTACCATGCGACTGGCGGGGTTGTATGACGTCATGCTACCCGCAATGCCAGCCATGCCAGTCAAGCCAGCCATGCCAGCCATGCCAGTCATGCCAGTCATGCCAGTCATGCCAGCTGTAGCAGTCATGCCGGCTGTAGCAGCGAATCCTCCAGCAGCTGTGCTGCCAGTCATACCAGCACCAGTTATGCTAGTCATGCCAGCTGTAGCAGCCATGCCGGCTGTATCAGCCATGCCAGCTGTAGCAGCCATTGCAGCCATACCAGTGATGTCAGCAGGCACGGCATCAGCCATGCCAGCCATCCCAGTCATGCCAGCCATGCCAGCCATGCCAGCCATGCCAGCCATGCCAGCCATGCCAGCCATGCCAGCCATACCGCCCACGGCTTGACTGCTCGCTGCGTCGATCGCATCCAGCCCACTTATCAGACCCATGCCGTTGGTAGGATAGGCTCCGTACATGCCACTCATAGTCCTCACGCCGTTTACCCCATTGACTTCCCCAATGGCCCCATTGACCAAGTTGACTCCAAGAGTTGCCAGGACATCGGTGCTGGCGTTTTTGGAGCTGCTTGTGCCAAGACCTGGAATGAGCAATTGGCACAGGGAGAACGGGGGGAGTACAGTTTTGCGGCGCTCATACTTAACCAATTTAAATTAGTTCTTGAGGCTATTTTTGAGGCCAATGTGGTACTGGGATGAAAGAGCATTGGTACACGTGTATTGTTTCGTACCAGATTTTGCTCAGAAATTTATAACGCGAATGCACTTAAAAACACTGTACCTGTAGAAAGGATGCCCCCTCTGACGTCAGCAGCCACCATGTCCTCTTCGCCCCCACCCCCACTCCCGCTCCAACCACCAAACAGCAGCTGCTGTTGGTGCCGGTACCTCCTTGCAATGAAAGAAGCAGAGGCGGCAGAGGCGGCGGAAGCGGCCGCAGAAGCAGCAGCAGCAGCAGAGGCAGCGGAGGCCGCGGCAAAGGGGGAGGGGGGAAGAGGCGGAGGGAGAGGGTTGAGAATCGCGGCAGTGGGAGGAGGTAGATCTGGGGTAGGGCGGGAGAGAGGGCCGTTGAAGACAGCCGAAGTGGCGGCGAGTGTGCTGTTACTGTTAACGTAACTGTTAACGTTAATTTTACCGTTACTGTTTCCGTTGTTAGGAATGCTGGACGCCTTGCGGCGCTGGATGGAGTGCAGCAGGTGCGGCTTGCCTTTAACGAAGCACTCATTAGCGAACTCCCAACGGTCCGGGTCCACTTTCCGGAAGCCCTGGGGGGGGAAGGGAAGGGCGCGGAGGAGGGGAAGTGTTGAGAATGCGTGGGTGGAAAGGGGGGAGGGGGAGAGGGAGGATGGGCGGAGAAGAGGGGGGCGGGGAGGGCGGGGGGGGGGGGGGGGGGGAGGGGATGAGGTAGAGAGTTTGCCGGGGGTTTAAGGAGGCGGAAGGGGGGATTGGGTTGTGGGGGGGTGGGGGGGGGGGGCGGCCGGGGAGGACGCGCGCACTGCGCGCGCCGGCGATGATGGCTCGGAGTCATGCACTGTGGCTCGCAAGCGTCTATGCATCGGTTGATTGCGGTTGGGCACTCATCAGTTGAGTGCGCGTCGTCCGCGCGCGGGAGCTTATTCGCTACGCTTCCGCTGCTCCGCACCGCGGCGGCGGAAAATCCCCCGCGCGGCGCGGCTCGGCGCGGCTCCGCTCTGCTCTCTCAGAGGACTGCGAGTTTTCGCGCGACCGACGCAATTCATTCGGTTCATTCTCATTCGGCTCACTCAATATAAGGTTTGTTATGAGACGTCCCAAAACAAACCTTACATCTCGGTTCGTTCTCATTCGGCTCACTCGAAACGGCGCGTGAGACCGACGTGCGGTGCTTAGGAACGATAACGAGTGAGCCGAATGAGCCGATATCGATATCGCTTGCTGTTGCTTAGGAACGATAACGATATCGCTTGCTGCTGGACCGAAGTAGGTGTTGAGCTGGCGCACTGTGCGAACAATGGACCTTCGTGGCGAAGCTCGAAAAGTTCCATCGCGACAATCGCGACCGTCGCGAACTTCGCGAACAATGAAACAAATCCTATGTAATGGCCAACCACCAGCGAGAGAAAAGGGAGGGAGGGAGAGACAGACATCGAGCTGACTCAAAATCGGGATTTTGAGATCATCGTGACGGTGCCCACCCGCCGCTGCACGCACGTAGGTGTTGAGTTGGCGCACGAAGCTCGAAAAGTTGCTGTGCTTGAAGTAGAGCGGCAGCAAGTCGCGCGCGAACTCCGCCGGCTGCCACACCACGAAGCTCACGCCGCTACCCGTCCACGCCACCACGCCATCCGTCGCCGCATCGTCCACCAGCTCGTACGTCTTGCTCAGAAACGGCGCCAGCGCGTGCGCCGCTGGCGGTGGCGGCGGCGGGAGGTGCGACGGCGCGGCCCGTCCTCCGCCGACTCCTGCTGCCGCTGCCGCCGTCGCTGCTGCGGTTGCGGCTGCGGTTGCGGCTCCGACTACCGCGGCTCCCCCCCCAACCGCGGAGCCCGCCAAAAGCTGCGTCGCTCCGGTGCTGCTGGGGATGCGTGGCTGCGATGGGTACGGCTGTAGCGGGAATGATTGCGGCGGCAAGGCCGGCGCTGCCGGCGGCAGCAGCTGCGTCATTCCGCCGGATCTGCCGACGCACATGCCGGCCAGGCCGGCAGGAATGCCGTGACCTGCTACCAGCGAGCCGTTAACGATGACGGGCGCGGCACTCGCCGTCAACGTAGCGCCGGAAAGACCCGATACTAAAGCAGAGGCCGAAAGCGCTGCTCCCGAAAGACTCGCTGCTAATGCAGAGCCCGAAATTGCTGGACCCGCCGCCAGCGCTGCTTCGGAAGCCGCAGCCATGTGCGTTCCACCGAGGAATCCCGTCTCCCAGGGTGGAAATCCCTCGAGCGGCCTGATGTTCCCGAGGGATGATCCCAGATTGGCCCAATTCCGGAGTCTGCTGGTCGTCATCCCAGCCATCTCCGGGTCATCATAATTCATCGAAGACTTTCGCGGCAACGATTCTGGTACTAGCCTGTCGACTCAACCGCTCCTAAAGATTGGAAGGAACTTGTAGAATTGAGATCCTCGGCAGGAATCGGCAAGAGGACACCACTAACGAACGAACGGCCCTTACGCTGCTGAATGAGCCGGACAGAATGACAGATATCTAACACCCACGCGAATAGAAGTGAAGTTGAACTGTTTCGTTGAACGTCTCGGATATCTAGCCGTCGGATTACGCCACTTTTCCCCGCCAAAGACGGACTCAGTTACACGTCTGGAGGCCCACGAACTCCCACTCGTTATACAACAATTTCCACCATTCGACGTCACTCGCAGCCTTTTTTTCCTCACTCACGCTACCGCACCGCTACTTAGCGCCGCCGTCTCTCGGCGAATCGGTCAGCCTACGTCGCTTAATATCGTCTCTGACAGCACTTCCCCGCGGAACCACGCGATAGTAGTTCCGCACCGCACTCCCTGCCGCCCGACTCGAGAATAAAGATAAGCGGCCTTGGCCATGCCTATTCGAGCCCGCTGTGCGTCGGAGCGTCACCAGCAGTCTAGGCTCTGCTAACTATCAGAGGTGAGCGAGGAGCTGAGGTGAGTTGCCAACAGAAACATAGGTGTAATCGAAGGTGGGGAAGTCTAAGTATGACAAGCTGTGTTTGGCAGCACACCGTCAGACCTTGAACCTCGTGTGAGCTTGGGAATCGAGACTCGAGAGAGCTGATTTGAGGAGAGGAGAAACAGGGAACGGGAGAGAAGAGAAAGAGAAGGGAGGGAGGAAAGTTTTCCGAGGCAGGAGGGGTACGCTTGTCCCCACATACAGCTGATAAAGTCCATCGAAAACTATACTTTCCTCTGCCCGTGATTCAAATTTCCTGACCTTCTGCGCTTTCAATCCGCATTCTCCCGTCAAAATCCTCTGCCCGAAGAGCTTCGGGAGTCTCCCGAATGGAGCTGGTTGTGTCGCTCTGGTAGCAACTGCCCCAAAAGCCAGACCGAAGCGAAAAGTATACCAGTCTTCTGCCACTTTGCGCCACCAAATTAGGCCGATTTGGTATTTAGCCTGCCCATGGTTCCTGATTCATACATTCTACTGTACAATCTGTTCTTCCCGCTTCCTGACCCACTTGACCCCGAAGATCACGAACTCACCCAATTTTCTCAACCAACCAACCAACAACCAACCAAGGCAAGCCACACCGCGCAATCACAGGAAAGCCTGCCCCCTGCATTGCGCTGTCAGCTCAGGCACTTTTTTTCGGTTTCTTCGAATCCTTCTCCCTGAAGAGAATCCAACTCTCCCTACTTGTGCGGCTGTGAATCTACTTTGCGGTCGTCCGTTCGTTTCTCTTCTCCACATCTGTCTCTCTGCACTGCAGCACCATGCACAACCTCGATTCTGGTTGGCTCCAAACCTCCACCCACTTCGTCATCCAGCCGCGCAATGCATGCTCCGCTTGTCTGCCTGCGCCGCTGTCGTCATTCTTCTCCGCACAAACCCGAGGGTGCACATGATGGAAAATCCGCCAGAGGACGAGGCATTCTCTCGATGAACGGACGGACAGATTGCGCTAGTCGAACCGCGAAATGCCAGACAATCCAACTGAATTGACGTGCCCCCACACTGCCAGCGCAGGGAGCACTCGAAGGCCCCACGTGAAAAGAATATCATGGAGGAAAAGCGCATCAAAAGCAACATTCCGAGGCTAATGGTTGGAGATTTTAAATGCCTCCGTGGCACGATTATGACCAAGTGCAAGTCGAACCACTTCCCCCAGCCTTGGAACGAAGCGCAATCTCAGCTTTGGCTCAATCTGAGCGTTGAGTTTCTGACGTGGGCCACTGATGACTATATCTAAAGGCATCCCCCAACCACCTCATGCTAACCTCGCTTGAATGTTTTACGTTATCCTTTCAAAGTTGGTTTGGACATCGAGAACACAGAGCTCGTTCAGACAGTCTAACATGGTTTGCACATTTCTTCTCAAATTCACTCAGGGCCTCTTTGCCCATAGCCATAACCACTCCTGTTAGCCAACAATTTGCTCTAGCTACAGAACAATCACAACATTTCCTTCTGATTTAACTACCATCGCATCCAAGCTTACAACATCAACTCTCGACACTAGTTGCCCTTATTTGCAGCCACCTTTCGACGCTTCACCCCTTTAGCCTGCGCCGCAGGGTGTGTGGAAATCGGAGCTCGCTTGGGCGGCAGAGCAACCGCCTTCTCCCCGTCCTTGTGCTTCCTCAACCGCCGCTTGGGCAAGTTCTTCATCCAAGCTGGCACCTCAGTGCCAGACTGCGCCATGACGTTGGCTATGGCTCTCAAATTCGGCTCATCTTCTTCAGTGTAAAACGTTACCGCCTCGCCTGGCCGACCCGCCCGTCCACTGCGACCTGGGGGCAGGGAGACAAGAGGTGGACAAAGATCACAACAGGGTGGGGAAGGCAGTGTGAGGGAACCTCAGTGCCTGACTGGGCTATCGCCTTGGCTATGGCTCTCAGGCTTGGCTCATCCTCTTCGGTGCAAAATGTCACCGCCTCGACTGGCCGACACGCCCGTCCACTGCGACCTGTGAGCAGGAAGAGAAGATGTGGACAAAGATCACAACGGGCGGGAGGGGAACGAGCTGTGAGGGAACCTCAGTGCCCGACTGCCACATCACGTTGGCGATGGTTGTCAATTTTGGCTCATCTGCTCCGGTGTAAAATGTCACCCGCCTCACCTGGCCAACCCGCCCTCCCACTGCACCCTGTGGTGATTTTTGTGTGAGGAAGGAAGAAAGACGGCGAGGGGAAGAGGGGGCTGGCGACAGACAGAAACAGCAATGGATTCATCCAATGCATGCAGCAATGGATTCATCCAATGCATGCAGCATTGGATTCATCCAATGCATGCAGCAATGGATTCATCCAATGCGTGCAGCAATGGATTCATCCAATGCGTGCAGCAATGGATTCATCCAATGCGTGCAGCAATGGATTCATCCAATGTGTGCAGCAATGGATTCATCCAATGCGTGCAGCAATGGATTCATCCAATGCATGCAGCAGTGGATTCATCCAATGCATGCAGCAAAGGGAACCGAGCAACATAGCCATTCACCGAACCATGGATGCCAACAGGAATCAACCCGCACCTATCCTGTGGATGTAAGCGGCAGTGGTTTCCACCACTGCAGGCGTGGTTTGCGGGCAGTCTGGTTCACCACTGCAGGCAGTGGTTTGCGGGCAGTCTGGTTCACCAATACATTCACCCCGGCAACGCCCATCGAGAAAACCAGCTTCGACCTATACACAGACATCGCATTCACTCCCTCTCCCCCTGAACACAATATCCCATGCGTTCACCATTCGCCAGATATCCTGTGCATGTATGCGGCGGTGGTCTGTGGGCAGTCGTGGTTGACCACCACATTCACCCCGGCGATGTCCATCCAGCAAAGCAACTTACAGGAAAAAATATGCAAACAACCATCGAACAGTCTCACTCACCTATCCTGTGGATGTAAGCAGCGGTGGTCTGCGGGCAGTCCTAGTTCACCACCACATTCACCCCGCGATGCCCATTGAGTTGCACGACTTTGCAGGCAAAGAGTTAAGGATGTCTACAAGCTCTTCTCACCTATCCTATGGATGTAAGCAGCGGTGGTCTACGGGCAGTCGTAATTGACCACCACATTCACCCCCGCGATGTCTATCCAGCAACGCAGCTCACCAAATGAAAGATGCAAACAACCATCCAGCAGTCTCACGCACCTATCCTGTGGATGTAAGCGGCGGTGGTCTGCGGGCAGTCGTAGTTGACCACCACATTCACCCCCGCGATGTCCATCCCTCGTCCCATGAGGTCCGTGGCGATCAGGAACCACACCTTGCCCTCGCGGAACGAGTCCACCACGTGCTCCCTCTAGAAGGGGATGATGGCGGGAGGAAGGTGAGGGGGGAAAGGGGGGGGGGGGCAAAAGGGTTTGTGGAAAGGTGAGAAAGGTCCATCCCTCGTCCCATGAAGTCTGTGGCGATCAGGAACCAGATATTGCCCTTGCGGAACGAGTCCACCACTTGCTCCCTCTGGGAGGAGGCGGAGGAGGGGGGGAGGGGGAGGGGGCGGGGGAGAAGGAGGAGGGGGAGAGGGTATGTGGGAGAGGTGGGAAAGGTGCTGCCTCGTCCCATGAGGTCCGTGGCGATCAAGAACCACACCTTGCCCTCGCGGAACGAGTCCACCACTTGCTCCCTCTGGGAGATAAATACAGGGAGACCAGGGGGGCGGCGAGGGGGGGAAGGGGATGCGTAGGACGGCATGGAAGCTGTGGGAAAGGGGGGAGGAAGGGGGGGGGAAGGGGATGCGTAGGACGGAATGGAAGCTGTGGGAAGGAGCGAATGCTGATGGAGGCAGGTGAGGGGCTCAGAGAAGAAGCAGGCCAGATGCCTATGGCTAACTTGCCACAGCCCACCAGATTTCAGATTTCACCACAGATCTCACCGGAGCCACGGATCTGTCAGCAAGAATGCCATCAACGTTGCGCTGAGTAGAGCCTATTTTTGAGGCGCCCATGCCATCACCGTTGAGTTGAGTTTTGCCCGTCAAACGGCAGCTCTGAGAGGAGCTGCTGGACTCGCTCCTTGCTCTGATTGTCTTGCGCCTCAGGACAACCAGATAGCACCTTTACCAGATAGCACCTTCACCAGACAGCACATTCCCCAGATATCTCACCTGAGCCACAGATCTGTCGGCGTGTATCACGTCAACATTAAGGCCATCAAAGGAGAGCTCGGAGAAGAGCTGCTGTGCGCGCTCCTTGCTCTGCACGAATATCAACACGGGTGGCCGCACGCCCTGCTGCAGCAGCTGCCGCATCGCCAGCAGCTTGCCCTCCTCCGTGCCCACGAACACCAGCTTCTGCTGCACCGTCTCTGCTGCTGCATTCCTGCATAGGGTGCGGCATGGAAGGGGAGAGAGAAAGGGCGGTCACTGAGCCAGCAGCTTGCCCTCCTCCGTGGCCACGAAGTCCAGCTTCTGCTGCACCGTCTCCGGTTGCTGCGTTCCTGTGGCGCATGCACGCATGCGAGAAGGACAGTAGGACAGAAGCTCACGAAACATGGGAGGGGAGGGAAGGGGGAGAGTGCAGCAGCAATGATGCTGAACAATGATGCAATGGCTGAAATGCAATGACCAACATTGATGCAATGGCTGAAATGCAATGACCAACATTGATGCAATGGCTGAAATGCAATGACCAACATTGATGCAATGGCTGAAATGCAATGACCAGCATTGATGCAATGGCTGAAATGCAATGACCAACATTGATGCAATGGCTGAAATGCAATGACCAACATTGATGCAATGGCTGAAATGCAATGACCAGCATTGATGCAATGGCTGAAATGCAATGACCAACATTGATGCAATGGCTGAAATGCAATGACCAACATTGATGCAATGGCTGAAATGCAATGACCAGCATTGATGCAATGGCTGAAATGCAATGACCAACATTGATGCAATGGCTGAAATGCAATGACCAACATTGATGCAATGGCTGAAATGCAATGACCAACATTGATGCAATGGCTGAAATGCAATGACCAACATTGATGCAATGTGAATGGCTGAACAATGTTGGGGGCGTCACCATGGCAGATCATGGCACACCATGCTGCAGCCGTACCTGTCCCCAACAACAATCCGCACAGGGTCGTGCATGACAGAGCGAGCCATCTGCTCGACGGCTTCAGGCAGCGTGGCGGAGAAGAGGGCTCGGGTGAGGGAGGGCAGGGTGCACGCCGCCACGATGCCGTCGATCTGCTCCACAAAGCCCATCTCGAAGAGCTTGTCCGCCTCGTCCAACACCAGGTGTTGCACCCTGGGAGTGAGTGTGCACGAAATAGGGAAAGATACTGGGTAAAGATGGGTGGAGATGAGCACATCGCACGCAGCCCCCATGAGATCCACACACTTGGCCGGGGCATTGGTCAGCAGCTTGGCTCTGACCTCCGAGCCACACACACAGTGTCAACCTTGTTCTAAGGTTCCCCACGAGGCAAGAACTCACCGGCTCAGATCGACCTTTCCTTCTGGCACCAGGTGGGCCAGCAGCCAGCCTGAGAGGTGTGGAGATGAGCACGTCACAGGCAGCCCCCTTGAGATCCACACACTTGGCCGGAGCATTGGCCAGTAAGCAGCATGCCAACAGCCCCACTCCTGCTCGTCATCAATCCAAGACTCACCGGCTCAAATCAACTTTGCCTTGAAACACCAGGTGAGCCAGCCTCAGGGACGTGGAGATGAGCACGACAAGCGCAGCACAGCCCCGTTGAGATCGACAATCATGGCTGTGGCTTTGGTGAGAAGACAGCAAGCCAACAACCTGATGCACACTCTGCATCAATCCAAGACTCACCGGCTCAGATCGACCTTTTCTTCAGACACCAGGTGAGCCAGCCTCAGGGGCGTGGAGATGAGCACGTCACACGCAGCCCCCTTGAGGTCCACACACTTGGCCGTGGCCTTGGTCAGCAGCCGCGCTCTGAGCTTGGTGCCGGCTGCCAGCTGCTTCAGCGCCCGTGATATCTGCAGCGCCAGCTCCCGTGTTGGCACCAGGATGACCGCTCGTATGGCGTCAGGGGAATGGGTCTGGGGGAGTGATGGGGAGGGGCGGGGAGGCGGGGGAGGGGGCATTGGGAAGGATGTGTGAGCAGCCGGGCTCTGAGCTTGGTGCCGGCAGCCAGCTGCTTGAGCGCGCGCGATATCTGCAGCGCCAGCTCCCGCGTTGGTACTAGAATCACTGCTCGTATGGCGTCAGGGGAATGGGCCTGGAAGGGGAAGAGGGGGGCAGGGGGGGGGGGTTGTGGGGAGGGAGAATGGAGAGAGCGAAGCTTGGTGCCGGCTGCCAGCTGCTTGAGCGCGCGCGATATCTGCAGCACCAGCTCCCGTGTTGGTTGGCAGCAGGATGACTGCTCGGTAGCATCAGGAGAATGTGTCTGGAAAGAACGGGGGAATGATGGGAGGCGGTACGTCCGACTCATCGGGAAGGATGTGAGAGCAGCTGAGCTCTGAGCTTGGTGCCGGCTGCCAGCTGCTTGAGCGCGCGCGATATCTGCAGTGCCAGCTCCCGTGTTGGCACTAGAATCACTGCTCGTATGGCGTCAGGGGAATGGGTCTGGAAGAAAGGGGGAAGGCGGGGGGTGCAGGGGGTCGGGGGGTGGGGGAGGCGTAGGGTAAAGCACACCTGTTTTTTTAGTAGCAGAGCAGTGAGTTCCATTCTGTGCACTGGGTATATGAGAACCCCAACCTCGTAAAGCAGCCCACCTTGAGCCCCATGACGATGGGCAGCAGGAAGGCGACGGTCTTCCCTGACCCCGTGGGCGCACACGCGAAGCACTCCTGCCTCTTCAGCAGCAGTGGCACCACCTGCCTCTGGATGGGCGTTGGCTCCTCAAACCCCATCTCCTGCAAATTCCTCAAGAGACGGCGCCGACAGTTGAACCTGGTGTTGGGGGTACACGATGGGAAGGGGAGAGAGTGAGGCCGACGCACTCCTGATTCTTCACCAGCAGCGGCACTGCCTGCCTCTGAATGGGCGTTGGCTCTTCGAATCCCATCTCCTGGAGGTTCTTCAAGAGGCGGCGACGGCAGTTGAGCCTGGTGTAGCGGGTATATTCGATGGGAAGCGGAGAGAGCGAGGGATAAGAACTACTACACCGTCAGCACTCCTGTTCCTTCAGCAGCAGTGGCACGGCCTGCCTCTGGATTGGTGTTGGCTCCTCAAACCCCATGACCTGGAGATTGCACAACAGTCAGCGACGACTGTTGAACCTGGTGTAGGGGGCGGGAGAGAGTGAGGGCGAAGCACTCCTGCCTCTTCAGCAGCACTGGCACCGCCTGCCTCTGCTCTGAATGGGCGTTGGCTCTTCGAATCCCATCTCCTGCAAATTCCTCAATAGGCGGCGGCGGCGACAGTTGAATCTGGTGGGAAGGGTTGGCACGGAGAGGAGAGTAAGTGAGGGTGTAGCCCTTCTGCACCTTCGGCACCTGCTTCTTCAGCAGCAGCATCACCTGCCTCTGAATGGGGGTTGGCTCCTCGAAGCCCGTTTCTTGGAGATTGCGCGAGAGACGGCGCCCAACAGTTGAATCTGGTGCCCAGGGGTGGGAGTGGTGAACAGGAAAGAGTGGTAATGAAAGGAGGGGGGGGGGGGAGGGAAGATGAGAAGTTGAATAGCCAGAGAGTTGGGAGAGAAGAAGGAATGCACAGGCGACTAAGCTGTATATGCTCCAGCTGCTGCTGATGCCTTCTTTTACGTTTTCCTCTTGCACGCTCCGACCCGTGTTCCTGTCTGCCTTCTCGAGGTTCCAGAACGACTCACCTGTCCCCCACGAGCACTCACTTGTCCGCAAGCTCTTGAAATGATTCCAAGGGAGCCGTCACCAGGTGGCTTGACACGTGGATGCGATGGCGCTTGCGCAGCACTGCTGCATGCTGCACGCGCGGGGGAAGAGAGGTGGGCGGGGGGGGTGGGGGGGGAAGGAGGGGGGCAGGTGAGAGGGGAGGGATGGGGTTAGGGGATGGGACGGGAATGGTACAGAGGCATCTGAAAAGACACGTGACGGGATGCCGCTCCCGCAGCAGCACTGCTGCATGCTGCCAGGGGGGGGTTAAGGAAGGCTTTTGAGGCGCCTCAAAAGGGGGTTAAGGAAGGCCAGGGGGGATGTAAAGGAATGGGGTAGCGTGAGAGCATCGCTGAGGGGTTTTCTGAAGCACCAAAAACGGAGAAGTCAAGTGAGCCCAAGGTCGCAAATCTATCTCCATGAAAACGTGAGGGGTTGAAGGTTTCTCACGCTTTGGAACTCAAGCTTAGGAAGCCTCCGACCCTAGACCCTGAACCCTGGCTTTTGAAAAGCCTCTCACCTCAACAGGGTCGATCTTCTTCCCAGATGCCTCTTCCCCTGACGCGTCAGACGCTCCCCAATTCTGGGCGGCCTGCACTGTCGCTTTCTGCTGCAGGCTCAAACGGTTCTCACCTCAACAGGGTCGATCTTCTTCCCAGATGCCTCTCCCCCTGACGCGCCGGAACCGGAAGCACCACCGTCCGGACGCTCCGAATCATTCTCTTCTGGGGGAGACGCAGCAGCTTGAGCTGCTGGCGTCGTCGGCTCACGCACCTGCCATGGCGGGAAAAGAAACCTTCCTAGTCAGACCGGAGGTGACTTTTGAGTAAACTCAAAAGAAACCTTCCTAGTCAGACCGGAATATTCCGGAGAGACAGCACCGAGACGACAAGTGAAATCGGAAAATATCCGTCGCAGCCAAAACCACGTAAACCCCAGAAACTCCGACTAAACTGGTAAAGCTAGGGAACTAACTGGTAAGCTGGGTTCTGGTAATCCATAGAGTGACGAATTCGTCTAGCTATTACAGATAGAGAAATGCGACCCGCGTAAGGTATTGATGGTTCAGGAGCAGGCTGGCGACACGAGGGAATTCCAGAGCGTGTAACCGTGTAACCGTGTAACGGCAACTGTTGCAAGGAGCACCTTGAACACGTCGATGTCCTTTTTGAACCGCTTCCTGTTGATCGTCGTTCCCGCAAACAGGAGCCGCTCGACGTCCATGGCGACCGGCGACGAGTGATTATACGGAGAGCGAGAGCACGGCTAGTGAGTGTAGGAAGAGAACGACAGGAGTTTGTGTGATGGTCACTAATGGCCGATAAAGCGGCTCGCCAGCGTGAAGAAGTTTCGACGAACGGGAGCCTGCGAAGCTGTTTCGTAGCTAAAAAGACTGAACGAATCTGGAACAATTAGCTTTGGCCAGGTTCTGGACGAGCGAAGGTCCGTTCCCTCGAAGCTGAAACACCAGTATCAGAAAGGCACTTAGTCAGCTCCGAGCTCTTCACTTAGTGTCCAAATTTGGTACTTCCGTTCCCCACACAAGAGGTGACAGGAATCTAGAAAGCCGCCATAAACTGGCGTGCAGACCTGCAAATACTTGAGGCAATCAGCCGAGGGAAGCAGCAGAGATTGCTCTAGAAAGGGAGCTGGATGGAGTTCTCGGGTCTTCGCAAAAGGTTCAGCGAAAAGATCCGGCGAATGTCTAGAAGATTCGCACAGCACGACGGATGACAAATGTTTTGGTAACCAGTCTCGCATGAATTCGCTCAGCTCGCGACCCCCCCTCGAGTCTGTCCCTTCCGCACCTCAATCTAGATTATCCTAGTGGGGAGGCAGTCCACTCAATACAGTACCTCGATACCTCCCTGTAGTGCCTATTGTACGTTCCTAGGGAGAGACACCATCATCAATTGAGAGCGACATTTGTCTTTTCCAGGGCTCGTAATAGCTGCGAGCTCCTGTGAAAGAGTATCCCCCGCTCGCAAGAGTTTCTTTAGGCATGTTTCATAGCCTCCTATTTCCTCTCAGGTTTGTTTCTCTGCCACGTGTCGCGCTCTCAAGCCCAACTTTCCGCAATTTACGCCTCACGCTCCAACCCATCCCACGTCCCAACGCTCTCTCTCACTCTGCGTCCTTCCCGCTACACCGTGCCAGCACCTTACCAGGCGCTACTGTCCTTTGTGAGTCGACCCATCATAGCTGTTTTTCGCTGCGCGAAGGAGAAAGGCAACCCTCCTCCTGCCGGGCCGTCAGATTTAACTCGCCCGGAAGCATCTCTCAGGCCGATTTCTCAAAATCAGCCGTTTCCCAGAGATCAGCGGTTCTTGCGAAATTCCGAGCCCGTGCGGTTTCGCAGGATTTATCGCGCGATTTATCGCAGGATTTGTCGCAACGAACGGCGGGTGCGGAGGGATCAGTACGGAACGCGTCCACGTGGCCGAAGCATCAGGTGGATCTCTTCGCTATCGACGGCGGGATCTCCGCAGCTTCCTCAGCATCAGGATCTCCAGGAATCGCGGAGCCGTTTGCTGCAAAAATGTCGGCGGAAGACGAAGTGTACGCGTTCGTTAAGGGATCGAGCGACGCTAAAAGCCTTTTATCGGGGATAAAGCTCAGCGGGGACAGCGGCGGGGTGGTGCTGAGAAACGACGCGGAAGTTTCTTCTGCCAAGGATCTGGTCGGGTTCGACGTGGATGGATTTTTTAGCGCTTTGTCGACTGACGGACTCGGACGGACGTTGCTGGCGAGCAAACGACTTCCGTCAACTCACACGCTCGTGTCAAAGTAAGCAGTTAGGGAAGGGGGGATATGAGGGAAGGGAAGGGAAGGGAATGGGAGGGGAGGAAGGGGAATGGATGGGGGGTTGTGGAAGGGGGGAGGAGAAGGGCGGTGAGTGTATATGGAAGAGTGAAGGGTTGTGAGGCTTGTACTGTGTGCCCCATATTGGATGTATTCTATGCTGCTATATGAGGGAGTATGCCTCATGCGAGTCCTTGTTATTCCGCAGCCCACTCAAGAGTTTGCCGCTGTGCTGCCTGTTGGTGATTGGCTCAGGGTGTTATGCTGTGTTGTGCTTCCCCATGCATGTCATGTGTTGTGCTTCCCCATGCATGTCATGTGTTGTGCTATAAGATGCATGGATGTAATTTGTTGTTCTACGCTGATGCATGCTTGTCACGGGTTGGGCTGTGCTGATGAATACATGGCATGCATGCCATGTGTTGTGCTGTGCCGCGGCATGCATGCGATGGTGTTCTGTTCGTTTCACCTGTCAGGAGCTTCGCGTCTCTCCCTATAGGCACCGTCTGCATCTCCCGCATCCAATACAGCGGACGAGGTACTCCCTCCTCCCACACACTCCTTCCCTCCCTCCCTCCCTCCCTCCCTCCCTCCGTCCTTCCCTCCCTCCCTCCCTCCCTCCGTCCTTCCCTCCCTCCCTCCCTCCCTCCCTCCCTCCCTCCCTCCCTCCCTCCCTCCCTCCCTCCCTCCCTCCCTCCCTCCCTCCCTCCCTCCCTCCCTCCCTCCCTCCCTCCCTCCCTCCCTCCCTCCCTCTCTCCCTCCCTCCCTCCCTCCCTCCCTCCCTCAGTCTCGTTCTCGCTCCTCCCCCGCGTCTGCTCGTGTGGTTCCTGTTGCTGCTGCCGCCGGAATCCCTCTCTCTGCTGCTTCTTGTAATCCTCCCTGCCTCTCTGACTTTCCCCACCTTCCAGGCCGCGGCGGCAACACGTGGGAGAGCCCCGACGGCTGCCTCATGTTCTCGCTCTCCCTGCGCTGGACCGACGGCCGCTCGCTGCCCCTGCTGCAATACGTGCTGTCGCTGGCAGTGGTGCAAGCGATCGAAGAGATGGCCAGGGAGAGAGGGGTGAGTGTGTGGCATGGATGCATCATGCATCTGCGCGTGGGTGGGTGGGGTGTGCATGGGTGGGGGGTGCATGGGTGGGGTGTGCATGGGTGGGGTGTGCATGGGTGGGGTGTGCATGGGTGGGGGGTCTCTCACGCTTGCCTCTGCTGCAGTGCGTGCTGGCGGCGGTGCAAGCCATGGAAGACATGGCCAAAGAGCGAGGGGTAAGTAGGCGTCCTGTAAGCGAATCTCTCACATAACAAGGGAACCCTCTCTCTTTCGAACTATGGTGGCTTGGCTTGAAGAATCTCCCCCTTTCCTCTCATATACCCCACCCCCCACCACAGGCCACCCGACCTTAGACGGCTGTCAAGTGGCCGATCAACATCTTACATGTGCTTTCCTCCAATCCTACACCCTCCCTCCATTCCTCGACCTCTCCCCCCTTCCCCCCCCCTCTTCTTCCCTCCGTCTCTCCCTCCCTCACCCCTTGCAGACCAGCCTCCCCCAGGTGGCCCTCAAGTGGTCTAACGATATTTACCTGGGATTCCAATTCTTTGGTCCTCCCTTCCTCCTCCCTTCCTCCCCCCTTCCCCCCCTCCTCCAACCTCCCCACCCCTTGCAGACCAGCCTCCCCCAGGTGGCCCTCAAGTGGCCCAACGACATCTTTTTGGGCGGGCAGAAGGTGGGAGGCGTACTTTGCACTTCATCGTACAGGAGCAAAGCTTTTGACGTCACCGTGGGTGAGTTATGTGGGTGAGTGGCTGAGTTGAGGGGGTGAGGGGGGGAGGGATTGAGTGGTTGAGGGGGTGAGGGGTGAGTGGGTGAGTGGGTGAGGGGGGAAGGGGGGATGGGTTGAGGGGGTGAGGGGGGGAGGGTGTGTTGCTGTTGCTTTTCGGCCTCCATTCCGTTTCGAGGTGACTTTTGAGTCGACTCAAAAGTCACCTTGCTGCTGTTCGGCCTCCATTCCGTTTCTCCCTCGTTCCCTCTGAGAATCCATCGGCTTTATCTTGGCCAGCTCTGACTCACCTCACTGCACCCCACCGCGCACCCCACCGCGCACCCCACCGCGCACCCCACCGCTCACCTCACCGCACACCTCACAGCACCACGTGCATGCATCAACGCAGCAGCACAATACCCAAGGCTGCCTTCATATCTGCCCCAGATGACCCCTTGTCGTCTCACCAGGCGTCAGTTTAAACGTGGACAAAACCCACCCCACCTCGTGCATCAACGTAGCACTCAAGGCCGCCTGCCCCTCTGCCACACCCATCCCTCACGAGCTCTTGCTGGCGGCTGTGCCTTTTGAGTCGACTCAAAAGTCATCCCTCACGAGCTCTTGCTGGCGGCTGTGCTAAACCGCCTGCAGTCCCAGAGAGGCTTTTGCGAAACTTCAAAAACCTTTCGAGGCTGCCTGCCTGTCCCTCTGGCTCTGCCCCACCCATCCCTCACGAGCTCCTGCTGGCGGCTGTGCTTAACCGACTGCACTCCCGGCTCCTTGTGCTCGCACGCTCCCGGCTCCTTGTGCTCGCATGCTCCCTGCTCCTTGTGCTCGCACGCTCCCTGCTCCTTGTGCTTGCACGCTCCCTGCTCCTTGTGCTCGCACGCTCCCTGCTCCTTGTGCTTGCACGCTCCCTGCTCCTTGTGCTCGCACGCTCCCTGCTCCTTGTGCTCGCACGCTCCCTGCTCCTTGTGCTCGCACACTCCCTGCTCCTCCCCGTCTCTCCTTGAGCAGGCATCGGCCTCAACGTGGACAACACCCACCCCACCACGTGCATCAACGCAGCACTGCAAGCAGCCTGCCCCTCTGCCGCCCCTGTCTCGCACGAGGCTCTGCTGGCGGCTGTGCTCAACCGCCTGCACTCTCTGTTGACCGTGTTCGAACGGGAAGGTAAGAGAAGCAAAAGGAGGGAGAACGGGAGGGGGAGCGCTAAAAGGGAGAGGTGTGAGAGAGGGATGTTGAGGAGGGGAGGGGGAGAAAAAGAGGGTGCAGGGGGATGGGGGGGGGACGGGAAGTGGGGGAAAGGTCACGATCTCTTGTAATTTCGTCTATGTCCTCTACATTTTGTTCGTTAATCTCCATTCAATATTTTTCCTCTTCCCTTGATGCTCCCCCGCTCCCTCTACCCTTCTCTGTTTCCCACCTCTTGCCTTTCTCCACCTTCCTCACCCACACTGTCTCTCGGCCTTTTCTCTCCAGGATTCAAGCCTCTGGAAGCAGACTATCTCCATTGCTGGCTGCACAGGTAACTTCCATCCATCCCCCCCTCGCTTCCGCACTTCCTCCCCCCCGACCTGCCTCCCTCCCTCCTCCCAAGCCTTAGGAACCAGAATATCTCCATCGCTGGCTGCACAGGTATGTTTCCTACCGCTGACTCACTCTCCCTCGCTCCGACTCCGTTTTCCGAAATCTCGCAACCTCTCTTTCCCCACGCTTTCCAGCTCTCCCCTCCTCCTCTCACCACACTCACAGTGCTGGAGGAAGTTCAATCAGGTGGATGCATGGGGACCTGGCTTCGGCGCACAAGTCGCTCGCCCTCGCTCCTGCTCTTCCCCCCCCCTTCTCCCCTTTCTCCCCCCGGCGCCTCATTGCAGCGGGCAGCAGGTGGTGCTGGAGGAAGCCCCAGGCGGGTGGAGCCATGGCATTGGGACCTGGATTTGACTCGCTTGTCGCCCTCTGCCCTGCTCTCCCCTCCCCCTTGCCTCTCCCTTTCTCCCCCCGGCCCCTCATTGCAGCGGGCAGCAGGTGGTGCTGGAGGAAGCCCAGGCGGGTGGAGGCGTGACTCAGGTCTCCCTGACTATTCAGGTGGGAGGTTCAGTTCAAGTGAAAGTTCAGATGGCTTTCAGTTTTGCCTGAACATCCCAGATACACCAGGCTCCCTCTCTGTCCTCCGCCTCCCTCACACCCTCTTCCCTGCCCTCTCCCCCCTGTGCTCTCTCGCTTATGCGCCCTGTTACTTGTCTGATTTGCCATTCCATCTCATCCCCCCCCCCCCCCCCCCCCCCCACACACACACACACATGTTCTCATGCACACTCCTTATTTCTCTCCCTTTTTCCTCTGCTCTCCTCTTCATCCCCTCAGGGCCTCACTTCGGGTGGTTACCTCCTTGCGACTGACCCGTCGGGTGTACAATTTGAACTTTCCCCAGATGGCAACAGGTTAGTGGAAACATCTCAGTAGCCACTCGCATGTCTTTCGTGTCTAAACCGAATCTCCCCGTCCTGTCGCCCTTTACTCTCTCCTTGCATCCCCCTTTCCTCATGCTTGTCTCTAGATTGCCAGATTTTCTGCGTGCCCTCTTGATCTCCTTACCCTCTGCTTGCTTCCCCTGCTTCCTTTGCCTGTTGTTTCTCTTGCTCGCTCCATTCCAGCCTCATTTCCTTCAAGGGCTTGATGTGCCGGAATCTCTAACTACAGGAGCAGGTGCCAGGGGAGTGTTGACTGATACCTTATGATAGCGCCTCAAGAGTCCCCTCCGCTCCCCCCCCCCCACTTACCCTGTTTTCTCCTCCCTTCCAGCCTTGATTTTTTCAAGGGCTTGATGCGCCGGAAGCTGGACCCGCAGGAGCAGGTGGTAGGAGGTCGTTGACGGGTGATTGTCTCTCACGTGCATTGCTCGATGGAACGCTAGCAGGTGACAGTCTGACCTCTGGTAGTCTCTTCTCTTCATCTGCCTGCCCCTCCCCCCTCCCCCCCGCCCCCTCCCTTCCTCATTCCCCCCCTCCCCTCCCCATTCCCCCCCTCCCCCGTACCTCCTCCTCTCCCTGCCTGCCCTCTCTTCTCTCCCTTCCTACCATCCCATATGCTTCTGGTGTTGTTGGCTTTCTATTTGCCCTACTCCCTTCACTCTCTCGCCTTCTGGTCTCCTGTTTCAGGGCCTATCGGCTGGGAACTCGCATGTCAACCCCCTTCCCACAGAGTAAGTGTATTCCTGCCATAAACCTCTACTCATCCTATATCTCTACTTTCCACTCTTAGCCATCTATTCTACAGCTCCTGCTGCTTACTCTTGTTACCCTCCTGGTTACCCTACCCTCTTGTGACGCCCTCCCCTCCTTGCCTCCCCTCCTTGCCGTCCTCCTTGCCTTCCCTCCTTGCCGGCCCTCTTGTCATCATCTGTACTACTCTCACGGCACGTTGCTCCACCATGTGTCTATGCCGTGTTGTGTCCATGTTGCTAAGCCACACCACACTGCTCGCTCCGCCCATTAACAGGCCCACAAGCAGGTGGTTCAGCCATCGGCCCTGCCGCGGCTTATCGCCACCTGCTGAGAGCAGTCAAGGAGTGTACAGCGAATCTGGACGCAGAAGCATGTGCACGGCCCCTCTACCCATCTGCTCATGACCCCGCCTCCTCTTCCTCTTCCCCACAAGCTAATTCTTCCAGAGCCAGTGGTTTTAGCTTCAAGAAAGCACTCGTGGGTAGGGCAGTAGTTGATTCTTCTACAGGTGAGGTAGAACGTAGTAAAGCCGTACAGGCTTACTTCGACTCGCTACAAGCAAAGCTTGTTAGCAATATAAGGGAGGCGTTTCAACACTACAGTAGTTTGGGCCAGACGGAGCAAGAACAACGAGCTACCTTGATAGCTGCTGTTCGGGTGCTGAGGATGTTGCACAAAGTCAAAGGACTCTAGCTTAGTAGTTTGTAATGTAGTTACTCTTCACTAATCATACCCCTTACAACTGAGCTCCTCACAACGGTAGCTTGGTGCTCGTATAGCGAGAGAAAAAATAGATCAAGGGAATGTACAGAGAGGTACAAGAGGGGTTGTATCCCTTGAGGACTGACCTTGCTAGGATATAACAAATATATACTAACTAGCTTATGTACATTTGTTGACACCCCCTAGCCTAGATAATAACAACTTATAACAAGGCAGAACAAACCAAGGCAGCACTAGTAGTCTGGCCTCTGGTGGATGTAATAAAGCAGCTTAGGGCAGCACTATTAGTCAAACAGCTGAGAAAATGGCCACTAGGCCAGTCAGCAAGTGTAGTAAGACAAGGAGGTATAGAACAGCAAGTACAAGCCGATATAGCATAGATCATGATACAAGGAGGGTAGCGACTATTGAGGCTAGACCTAGCTGAGTACAGAAGCGCTGATGGTCACGAGGCGGTAGTGCCTTGGTAAAGATATCAACAGTGTTGGCCTCTGAGACCAACTGTACTACACGAGCCTGATCGTGCTGCTGCAACTCACACAGCAAGAAGTACCGCAACTAGATGTGCTTCGCCCTGCCCTCAAGTCGAGCCTCTTGACACAGGAGGATTATGGCTCTGTTGTCAGCCAACAGGACCATGGCAGACCTACGCTGCTCACCTAAGTCGGTGAGCAAGAACGTCAACCAGCGGAGCTCCTAAGCGGCCATGGCCCCAGCGTAAATCTCTGCCTCACAACAGGACTGAGCTACAGACGTGAGCCTAGTGGACCTCCAAGACAGTGGAGAAGGCGGCGAGGTCGGGGAAAATAAATGGCAGCAGGAGACGACCTAGGGTAGCGGATAATTGGGTAGAGTAGCGAGCGACAACTGCGTCCCAGATAGTGTGAGCAGTCTCTAGAGTCTCAAGGTGAGTCTGCTCGTCTGGGGGAAGGGCCCTAGTGACTACCAGCTGCGCAGTTACGTCGCGGGACTGCCAGACAAAAAGGGCGGCTAGGGCAGTCTCGTACTCCAACCGCTGCTCAGACGTCGGGTCAGCAGCAAGATCAGCGGGCTTAAGAGGGGCAAGTAACGTACCCGAAGTGTGGGCCACGAGGGCCTGGCCGTCCTGGCGGATAGACGTGAGCTGATGGCAGAGGGTGGCCAGCCAGGCAAAGAAACCTAGCGCGCGACCCTCGGTGTCCAAGCGAAGGACAGAGCCAGACGGGGCCGCCATGGCGGCAACTGGCGGCTGCAGCTCGAGACTGCTGGCAGCGGCAAGAGCGGGCTGTGAGTGACGGCAGGAGAGAGTGGCGCACAGTAGGCGGCTGGTGGCAAGGTGCCGGCTGGCGGCATGCAGGGAGCAGCAGAGCCAGTGGGACGCGACGAGTTGCATGCGGCTGGCGGCAAGATGGAATGCAGAAAAGACGGCAGGGCTCTGCTGGCGGCAAGTGGCAGGCTGCGCACAGGTGGCGGCAGGCTGCTGGCGGTGCGAAAGCTGTGGGCCGGCGGCTGGTGGTTCACGGCAGCGAGCTGACGGCGGCTAGCGGCGAGCTGGCTGCTGCTGGGTGGCTGCGGCGAGCTGGTGGCTGCTGGCTAGCGGCAGCAAGCCGGCGGTGACTAACTAGGAGCGGGCGGCAGCTGGCTGATGGCTGGCGCTGGCTGCTGGTGATGGTGGCTGGCGATTGCCGTTGGCTGCTGGCTGCTTTCGCTGGCAACGAGCGGCTAGCGCTGGTGGCGCTGGCACTGGCTGCTGGCGCTGGCAGAGGAGGCTAGCGCTGGCAGCTGGCAGAGTGTTGTTGGCGCTGGCGACGGGCAGCTAGCGCGGCTAGCGCTGGCGGCTGTCGGTGGCCGGCGCTTGGCAGCCGGCGCAGGCGCTGGAGGGCGCTGGCTGGCGCTGGTGGGCTGTAGCTGGCACTGGCTGGCTGGCGCTGGCGCTAGCGCACGCTGGCGCTGGCTAGCTGATGCTGGCGCTGGCTGGCGCTAGCGAGCTAGCTGGCACTGTCGGCCTGGCTCTGGTGCTAGCTGGCGTTGGCTGGCGCTGTCTGGCGCAAGCTAGTGGGCTTGCACAGGCGCTGGCTGACGCTGGCGAGCTGGCTAGCACTGGCTACACGACGAGAAAGGGGAAGGAACGAGGGTCTAACGGGGGGGACGACGACTATCGACGAGGTGCGAGGCTAGGGGCGGAGCGCGCTAGGGCGTGTGCTAGGACGGAAGAGTGAGGACGAGCCTGAACCTAGCTCTAGATGCCATGTTAGTAGAGAGAGAAAATAATTTGACGAAGGGAATGTCGAGAGAGATACAAGAGTGGGGTTGTACCCCTTAAGGACTGACCTAGCTAGGAAATAACAAAGAAATACTAATTAGCTTATGTATATTTGTTGACACTTGGGGCAAACAGTGAATCGGCAATAGTCCATTGTGACTGAGGAACAGCTGAACTGAATCCTCTTGGAATGGGACTGCATTTGCACTCTTTATTAAAGGCTGCCTGCAACACACCTTGCAACTCTGTTTCAACCTCACAGTACCAGTAGCTTGGGCCAAGTAGAGCAAGAGCCAGGCACCTCAGTGGCTGCAGCTACTGGCATAGTTGCACCAGTCGTGCACCTTGACGTTTACCCTCAACACATCTTGCAACTCAGGGCATTTTCCTATGCACCGGGATCAGAGTCGGACTTGCGCAGAGCCAAAATGAACCGCACTGAAACATGTTTCCAGCACTTGCACCGCACAATACCGCATCAGTCTGATCCTGATCCCAGTTCATAGGAATACGCCCTCAGTTTCAGCAGTACAGTAGCCTGGGCTAGACAGAGCAAGAGAAAGCGCCAATGTGGCAGCTGCTGTTAGTATGCTCAAGTGGTTGCTGCTGCTAGGGTGCTCAAGTGGCTGCACAAGGTTAGGGAAGCACACAGTACAACTCTCAGCCGTGTGCGCCACAGCTCAGTGAAATCTACAGGACGAATTAACCTCTATGTGTACCTATGTATAAAAAGAATTGTTGGGTTGGGTGGAACCACTTCTTATTTTGTGTTATATCATATTTTTTCCTCTTGTACGCTCTTGCTATTGCCTTGCATGTACGTAACATCAGCTGTATCCATATCCAAGGTATAGTATAGGCACGAAACAACAAGTGGTATCGCTACTATATACAGCTTGATCAAATCAATTGGTATGGCCTCGGAAGTTAGAACCCACTTGGAACATCAAGCATTGTGTGTTACAAGGCATGCAAGCAATCATATCCACTCCCCGCCTCCTATCCGCTATTGTAGAGGGCAGCACTGCAACCAAGTACACAGGGTAAAGTTACTTGTTTTGCCATCCTGGCTTCATACATCAACAGATTACATAGTCAGACAAAACGCGGGCTTCCACGGCCTCAAATCAGAATCAATCCTTCACAGGATTTCCTGAATTACAGCAATATTGAGCCTCATATGCGACCATTACCTCTTGTGCTTCAGTGTTTGCACAAGCCTAGCAAGTGGTGTTTCAGTTTTTCATCCTCTTAACAGTTAAGTCTGAGGTGGGACGAGCGAGCCATAATGCAGAACATGTTTCGGGGTGGGGCGGGCCATCTTTGCTGCTGTTATTGCCAAGAGGAGGTGGAGGGGTTGATTCCACAGATACCTTGGGCAGACCTCTGATTGAGTGGCTAATGCTCCTGTGGCTGTACCTGATGCTGCCTCTGCTGCACTTGATGTTGCTTCTCCTCTGGCCCCGCATTCTGAATCAAGTGTGGTATTGCTTTCATGCTCGGTTGGTTGTACCAATGTGCCGTGGCTTACTTTACAACTTCTCATTACTGAGATACGAAGTAGGAAATTTCTGTAGCCGATAAGATATGGCCCTTTATTGCGCACACTAGTACAAGGAACCCTACAACAGGTTTGCCCTCTCAAGACTGGAAAGAAAGGACGAGCCTAACGCCTAATGCTCCTTTCATAATGATCACCACCAGTAGTACATTTTGTTAATATATCTATTTATTATATATGTATGTGTAGGCTAGGCAGGTGCTGTACTGGTACTGGTTCTTACTGTAAAGAGGACAACACTTCTCTTGTACCTCTCTCTCTTCTCTAGTCAACCCCTTTTCTCTCGCTATATTATCCTATCAAATTATACATATATATATATATATTATACATATATTTGTTTAGGCTTGGTAGGTGTGCTACATTGCTGGATCCTACTGTAGAGGGGACAACCCCCCCCTTCTTGTATCTCTTTCTCTTCCTAGTTGACTCTCTTTTCTTTCGTAACTCTTCCCCCCTAGCTAAACCTCTCGACACTTTTCTCATGGCTACCTAGCTAGGCTTATCTCCTTACTAACATGGTATTAGAGCAGGCCGATCTGCCTGTCATCACGCCTCCTCAGCATCCTCTTGCCCCTCCCGTCACTTACGTGCCGCTGTGGCGGCCATGTCGTGCTGCTACGGCGGCCTTTATGCGCTGCCGTGGTAGCCCCGACGCGCTGCCGTGGCATCGACGTCGTGCTGCCGTGGCGGCGTCGACGCGCCAGCGCACGGACGGCAGCGGCCAGCGCCCGGTTTCAGCGCCGTCCAGCTCGCCCGCACGCCAGTAAGCGCCGCGCCAGCCATGGCGCCTCGCTGAAGATTCGCCCCCCCCCTCTTCCCCTCCTCTGCCTTTCCCCTCCTTCCCGCTGCAGCTGCTGGCGGCCTCGTGCCGTCCTGCCCCTTGTCGTCGCAGTATGAGCCATGCCGCCGGGTGCCTCGGGCACCGCCGCCGCCTCTGCGACCCGCCGTGGACGTCGCCACCTCGATTGCCAAGGGGTCGACCGGCTGGTCGACGCCACAGCTCCTGCAGGGCATGGGGGTGCAAGGATGAGGGGGTGCTGCATGTGGGTTGGGCTTGCCACTACCAAGCCTAGGGGGTGTGTCAAATTACATATATATATATATATATTATATATATATATATTTGTTTACCAAGCCTAGTAGGTGTGCTCCATTGCGGGATCCTACTGTAGAGGGGACAACCCCCCCCCCCTTCTTGTATCTCTTTCCTTACTAGTTGACTCTCTTTTCTCTCGTAACTCTTTCCCCCTAGCTAAACCTCTCGACACTTTTCTCATGGCTACCTAGCTAGGCTTATCTCCGTACTAACATCTCCTACCTAGCTAAACCATCTTCTAACATGGTTTCAGAGCAGGTCAATCCTGCCGGGCCTTCTCCCCACGCTTCAGCATCGCGCTCTGATATCTTCCCCCACTGTCGTGCACCCGTGGCGGCCTCGTCGCTTTGCAATCGCAGCCTTGATGCGCTGCCGTGGCGGCCTCAACCCACCGCCGTGGCGGCCTCAACCCACCGCCGTGGCGGCCTCGTCGTGCTGCAGTGGCGGCCTTGACGCGCCAGCGCGCTGGTTTAGCGCCAGCCAGCACGCCCCCACGCCAGCCAGCGCGCCAGCCAGGGCTGCTCACTAACTGGCTCCGCCGCCGAAGACCCCCCCCTCCCCTGCGCCCCCCCCCCTCCTCCTGGCCGCAGCTGATGGCTCTCGTGCCGTCCTTCCCCGTCGTTGCAGAGTCGTGCCACGCCGCCGGGTGCCGCGGGCTCCGCCGCCGCCGCCGCCGCCGTCACCGTCGCTGCCACCGCCGCCACAGGTGCCGCTGGCTCCGCCGCAGCCGCTGCACTCGCCGCCGACGTCGCCGCCTCGCACAACGAGGGTTGAACCGGCTGCAGCATGCCACCCGAGATGCTGGGTATTGGGGTGTTAGGGCTTGGGGTGCTGAGCTCAGTGGTGCTGGGTGTGTGGTGTGCTCAGACTGTCTTACTACTCAAACCAGTGGACAGATTAGTAGTGCTGCCCTGGCCTATTGCTTGAGTAGAGCCTACCAAGCCTAGGGGGTGTGTCAACATATAGGTAGGTATACATATATATATATATATTTATATATATATATATATGTGTGTGTTGGCTAGGTAGGTGCTTTACTGGTACTGGTTCTTGCTGTAGAGGGGACAACACTTCTCTTGTAGCTCTCTCTCTTCTCTAGTCGACCCCTTTCTCTCGCTTCTGTCTCCTACCTAGCTAAACCCTCTTCTAACCCATTTCGCTTCGGTGATGCCGACGAGACCTTGAGCCCGAGCGCAAATCATGCACCGTCGCCTAGAGAGAAGCTGAAGCTGTCATTGTTGTTTGAGTTTGAGCTGTCATTGCCAATGGACGCCCGCTGAAGCTGGCAGACTACTGAGGTGACCCTTGAGCAGATCCCAAAGATGCACAAAGAATATGGTGGGTGGTGGGTGGGCTGACCTGTGCTGAATGAGGGGTGATTGAATGCACGGGAATGGCGATACAAGAATGCAAGGATGTTCCGGAGTCTCAACTCAAACTGTCTAGAACCGTCTGGAACTGTCTAGAACCGCCTAGGACCATCGAGATACTCACTCAACTGCTGCCACTGCTTCCGATCTTCGCATTCCTGGCTGCCAAAATGTCTTGCTTCTGCTGCTGTGCCAGGCTAGTTGCACCACTGCTGCTGCTGTGGCCAACTAAACTCCCACAGAAGGGCTCGAGTGCACTCGGGCTATGCACCGGCTGCAGTCTGTTGTCCGTCGGGCTGCATCGAGTCAGTGAGTTGTGGCTGCCTGCTTGCTTGCTTGCCTGCTTTCCCCACTGCTGCTACTGTGACTGCCCGAATTCCTACATGGGCCAGTGCACTGGAAGGCAATGGGCCCTCCGCCCTCCCCCTTTGAGACATCTCAGAACGGAACGAGCAACGCCTCCTGTGGCCGCCTGAGCACCTACATGGGCCAGTGCACTGGAAGGCAATGGGCTCTCCACCTTTCATCCGCTCCTGTCGCAGCCGTGTGCCTCTTGGGATGCGTCGAATTAGTCACGTGTGTCTGCCTGCGTGCCCCACTGCTGCTGCTGTGGCCACCTGAGCACTTACATGGGCCAGTGCACTGTTTGGCGGCAATGCGCCCTCCGCCTTTCACCCGCTCTTGTCACAGCCGCGTGCCTCTTCGGATGCGTCAAGTCAGATGTGGCAAACTGTGTTGCCCGTTGTGCTGAGTCAAGTTAGTCTGGTGTGGCCTTTTTGCCGGCAATGCTTGCAGGGCAGGGGAGCAGCTCCAACCTCCTCTCCACCAACATCCCTTCCCCACCCCATCCTCCCTCTTGTCTCTTGGGTTGAGCCGAGTCAGTCTGAAGCAGCAGTCAGCGGCAGGGCTGCTGGAGCCCGTTCTTCTGCAGCTCCCGCAGGGCAGGTGCAGGTCTAATCTCCCCTTCTGCATCTATCCCTTTCCCCATCCCATCCTCACTCGTCTGCTGGGTTGAGCCGAGTCACTGGTTGCAGTCAGCAGCAGGGTTGATTTCACATCCCCATTTTCTGCAATGATCTCAGGGCAGGTGCAGGTTTGATCTCCCCTCGAGCGACTGTCCCTTCCCCATCCCCAAACGCCTGTCCCATCCAGCCCTCCTTGCTTCCGCATCCCATCCTTCTTGCCCCATCCCATCCTCCTCTCCCCATCTCATCCTCCTCTCCACATCTCATCCTCCTCTCCCCATCTCATCCTCCTCTCCCCATCTCATCCTCCTCTCCCCATCCCATCCTCCTCTCCCCATCCCATCCTCCTCTCCCCATCCCATCCTCCTCTCCCCATCCCATCCTCCTCTCCCCATTTCATCCGCCTCTCCCCATCTCATCCTCCTCTTCCCATCTCATCCTCCTCTCCCCATCTCATCCTCCTCTCCCCATCCCATCCTCTCTCCCCATCCCGTCCTTCTCCCCCAGCTCATCCCTAATTCCCCATCCCGTCCTCCCTTCCCCTCCCGTCCTCCCTTCCCCTCCCGTCCTCCCTCCCCCATCCCAGCCTCCCTTCCCCATCCCATATTCCCCGCCCATCCTATCCCACTCATCCCCTTCTACAGCCTCCGACTCAAACCTCCCCTTGCATCAGAGACCAGTTATCTTCTCCAGGGGGCTTTCAGAATCCTCAGATCCGCCTCCCTCCCTTCGCATTGATTTGCACAGGCATGACCTCTTCGCAATCTCTCCAGACCTATTTCTCCAGACCTGTTTCTCCATACCTATTTCTCCAGACCTGTTTCTCCAGACCTGTTTCTCCAGACCTGTTTCTCCAGACCTGATTCTCAGGCCTGTTCATCCAGGCCTGTTTCTCCAGACCTATTTCTCCAGGGCATGTGAGGCTCGGATCAGGCTTGAATTGATCGACTATGTAGTGAGATGAGGCTACATGGCTGAGAGGTTACGGAGCAGTACAGTAGGAGGGAGAGAGCTAGTGGTGAGAAGTCCAAGCTCAGGCTGTAGTTAGCGACCTACTACTATTTTGGTCTGGCCTGCTGCAGAAATCGCTGATCCGTGAGCCCCCCCCCAGTGTCGCCAGCACCACCACCTGATAGGAGTTTAGTTTCGCGGCGCCTCAAAACTAGACTCCTATTTTGGTCTGGCCTGCTGCAGAAACAGCTGATCCATTATGCCCCCTCCAGTGTCACTAGCACCACCACTGGGACCAACGCCACCCCCACCACCACCACTACCACCACCGCCGCCGCCGCCGCCGCGGCTGCTGCCGCCACCAAAGTTGCTGCCCCCATGCTGCTGCAGGAACGCTGCTAGAAGCTGCTGCTGCTGCTGCTGCTGAAGCAGCTGTGCTAGCTGCAGCTGCTGTTGCTGCAGGTGCTGCTGCTGCTGCGGCTGCAGTTGTTGCTGTGGATGCTGCTGATGATGTTGCACCTGGTTCAAGGGTTGATTCTGCAGCTGCAACTGCTGACTGGCCTGCAACAGATGGGATTCTGTCAACTGCTGATGCTGCAGTTGCTGATGTTGCTGACTCTGTGATTGCTGCTGACTCTGCAGCTGCTGCTGATTCTGCAGCTGCTGCTGATTCTGCAGCTGCTGCTGATTCTGCTGCTGCTGCTGATTCTGCACTTGTTGCCGGGGAGACAGCAGCTGGTTAGGCTGGAGTTGTTGTTGGGGAGACTGCTGATGCGGGTTATGTTTCAGAGGTCCTCCCATGGAGCCTGTAGAAGGAGCAAACGCCTGGCCAGAAAGCTGCTGAAGCATGGAAGATTTACCATCTCCCCCTTGCCAGTTCGCACCTCCCCCATCCAAACCCCGATGAGCAGACACGCTTGTTGCTCCTGCCGCATTGCCCACACTTGCCGCACCACCACCACCACCACCAGGGGCAGCAGCAACACCCCCAGCGCCACTAACCCCAGTTGAAGACTCCTCAGAGTTGTTTGTATCGTCTCTTTTCAATCGCTTCCCCTGTTTATCTGTTTCCCCTACAGTTTGCCCCTGACCCTGCCCTTGCCCCTGCCCTTGCCCCTGCCGTTGCCCCTGTACGAGCCCCTGCAAGACAGAGTTAGCCTGCCCTAGGCCCATCTGCCGCCCGCCGAGCTGCCCGGAAACTCCCTGACCAAGCCCTTGCTGCTGCCCGAACATCTTCTGCTGCCCCATACCTCCTTGCCCCATACCGCCTTGCCCCATACCTCCTTGCCCCATCCCCCCCCCTTTTTGCGTCATCCCCCCCCCCTGCCCTTGCCCCATTCCCCCCCTCTGCGCTTGCCCTAGCGCCTGCAGCATCTGTTGGCGCTGCTGCGCTTCCAGCTGCTGCTGCAGCGACAGCAGGAGAATCCGCTCAGACACAGCAGCACCCCCCGCCCCGCCTGCATTTGCAACCAGCAGCTCTAGTAGGGCTCGCTGTAGGGCGGGATCGGCTGCTGCTGCTCCCAACGCCCCCCCTGCTGCTGCTCCGCCGGCGTCTAGTCTCCTGCCCCCGCCTGCTCCTCCTTGGTTGCTCAATGCCCCCATAAGCTGCTGCTGCTGCTCTTGTTGTTGTTCTTGCTCTTGTTGTTGCTGTTGTTGGCGTTGCATTGACAGCTGCTGCTGCTGCTGCTGAAGAAGAAGTTGTTGTTGCTGCTGTTGCTGCTGCTGCTGTTGTTGCTTCTGCTGCTGCTGCTGCTGCTGCTGCTGCTGGTGCAATGCACCCACGATCACGGGCGGAATCCCCAGCGACTGCAGCTGCTGCAGTGTGCACCCATCAAGCCCCATTATCCCTCCCAACCCACCACCACCACCATCACCACCACCACCTCCACTCCCTCCTCCTCCTCCTCCCTGCCCTTCTCCCACCCCACCTAATGATCCACCACCGTCAATCCCAGTCCCCGTCCCCACTGCTGACAGCATCCCCCCAGAACCCCCTGCCGCACTTCCCCCCACCAAGCCTCCCCCAGTACCACCCCCCCCAGAAGCAACCACCAGCTGCCGGTTCCCTAACCCCTGCCCCCCCCCAGAGTTCCCAGCATTAAACCCCGACCCTGGAGCCCATCCAGCCACGCCCCCCGCACCCACATCCCCCCCACCTCTCTCCCGAGCCTCAGTAATCGCCTTCTCAACCCCCACATACCCTGGCAACGGCTGCCACTCCGCCAGAGCGGGATGAGGGAAGTTGGTTCTGGCCTTGGGGCCGCGGAGCTTCACAGCAGCACGGTCATACGCCCTGGCGGCTTCCTCCGGGGTGTTGAACGTCCCCAGCCACACGCGGGACCGTTTCTTGGGGTACCGGATCTCTGCTACCCACCGGCCCTCGTGCCGTTGCCGCACGCCTCGGAACAGCTTCGGGTCCCCGCCGCAGCTGCCGGACGCAGCCTTGGCGCTGGTTACTGCGGTGTTCGAGTCAGGCTCGGCAGGCTGGGCGATTCCCGAGCCTCCGGAGAGGGATTTGGAATCAGAGTTCGATTTGAGTTGGTTGGGGTTGTTGCCGCCTGGTGTGGGCAGGGCAAGAGGAGAGGAGTTCTGATTGTCCCCTAGGACAACGAGTGCTCTTGACGCTCCTGCTGCTGATGTTGATGCTGCTGGTAACGCTGGTAACGCCAATGCACCTGCTGCTGCTCCTGCTGCTGCTGTTGCTGGTGCTGGTGCTGCTCTGGGTGCAGCTCCCCCTTCAGTTCCAGCTGCTGCCGGGCCCCACCCAGCGGCGCCAGCAGCCATGTGAAAGTGATTCATTTCAGACAGGAAGTTGAGGGGTTTAGATAAAGACTGGCCCGATGGGTGCTGCAGAACGGGCGCAGCTAGCTGACCTGGAGCACCGCTTCCCGCTTGCCACTGCTGCTGCTGCTGAGTCTGATGTTCTACTGTCTCCGCTCCTCTCTGCTCAGCGTCGCCCTCCAGGTGCTGCCCTCCCAGCAGGTGGCCGAACAGCTGCGGCTGCACCTCGTGATGCCGCCACTGCTGCTCCTCCGCTTGCTCCTGCTGCTGGCCCTGCAGCAAGTGCCACTGCCCGTTCCATGGACCCTCGTTGTCCGCCATGGCGTCTGAAGAGTCCTTCCAAGGGATTGAAGGCTTCTCTGCCAGGACAGGAGATGATGGGGGGAACAAGGAGGGGCAGTTTGGGGGGGATAGCAAAAGAATTAACATTGCTTGCTCCTGCTGCTGGCCCTACAGCAAGTGCCACTGCCCGTTCCATGGTCCCTCGTCAGCCATGGCTCCAGGGGGGGGTTGAAGGCTTTTTCTGGGTTAAAGGCAATGATGGAGGGGGCAAGTGGCGGCAGATTGGGGGGATAGAAAAGGCTCAAGTAAACGTTTCAAACAGAACGATATTTCAGGTGGAGGCAGAGTAAGTGGAGGGCTTCTGGGGGTTCTGCCAACACTGGTACGGAACGGATGGGGGGGGACAAGGAGACGCAATGTGGGGGGAGAGAAGTGGCAGGAGAACACACTCAAAACTGAATGGTCACGGGGGTGGAGACAGGAGTAGGTAATGGAAGGCTTCTGGGTTTTTTAACAGCATTGGTACTCATGGGGTACAAGGGGGTACAATGTGGGGGGTTGGGGGGGTTGGGGGGCGTGGTGGGGGAGGATTGGTATAGAGAAGGTATTCTAAGCGGAGTGGTCGAGGAGGTGGTGACACATGAGGGAGAAGTGGAGGCGTCTGGGGCTTCTGTCAACACAGTCAATGACGGAGAACAAGGAGGGGTAATGTGGGGGGGGGAGAAGAGGGGGGGAGCGGAGTCACTGGCTTGAAGAAGGCTTTCTAAGTGGAGTGGCAGGTGTGGGACAGAGGAGAGACGTGGAGGCTTCAGAGGGTTCTGCCAACACAGGAAACGAAGGAGATGGAGGGGCAATGTGGGGGAGCCACTGGCATGAAGAGGGATTTCTAAGCGGAGTGGTAGAGGAGGAGTGGAGACAGGAGGGAGAAGTGGAGGCTTCAGAGGATTCTGCAGCACAGTCACTGATCGGAGCAACGAGAGGGGATATATCATAAAGAAACGTTCTGATACGAAACAGGAGGAGAAGGCGGAGACAGGAGGAGAAGGCGGAGACAGGAGGAGGAGGCGAAGACAGGAGGAGGATCCGGAGACAGGAGAGAGAGAAGTGCAAGCTTTTGGGTCCTCTGCCGGCATAGGCAAGGATGGAGGACAGGGAGAGGCAATGTGGGGGGAACTAACATGGAAATGGCTACTGAACAGAAAGGTCTGGTGACAGCAAGTGGACTCCCTTGCAATAAAGAAGGAAAAGGGGTGGGATGCTGTGGAAGAGGAAGTATGCTGAAGGGAGAAAGCCTTCATTTTCAAGATAGGGAGTAAAACGCCATAAAATAGCCTTTTCATTCAATTTTCCGCCTGTTTCAAGGATTTGATCAGACGGGGAACGAGGAGGGTCAGGAGGACACCAGGACAAAAACAATCATGTATCCCGATTCTCCTAGCGAAAAAAACACTCTTAGAGCCGCGGATATCAGTTCGTCGAAACAAAGCGGGAGCAAGGAGGGAAATGTACAACAAATAGGAACATCGGACGCTGAGAAAAGAACATCCCAACTTAAGTGAGTGATCCGAAACGGTTTTATAATTTATCTCAAGGAGTTTGTGAAGTTCTTCTATTTTTTGTGTCGGCGCATCGGCGCGAACAACTGGCTTGCTGGACGTACTTTGAAAACGGGAGGCTTTCAGCTGGGCTTGTGCTTGAGATTAAGGCAGCCTAGCAGTCGCTTCCTGGACGAGTAGGCAGCGCTTGGCCATGGATCCGAAAACGAGGAAGACAAAATGGAATGAAAAGAAATCAGAATAAACTTTGAAAAAAAAAAAAAAAAAAAAAAACCGCGTGCGAGACGTTGAACCGTTGAAAGCTTGTCAATTTGAAACATAGGACCTCTGGCAGAAATGCTTGGGTGGAAGCCTCAGCGAACGATTCACACTACGCGAAGGACCTTGCTGGTGCCAGTGAGAAGGGGTTGCAGGGGATGTGCCTGGTACAGATGGACAGGGACAAACGCGCTGAAGCAAATTGGAAGGGGGTTTCCAACTTTTCAATAAACCTAGGTAGTGGACAGGGACAGGAGCGCTTGCGTGGCGGAAGATGGACGGCGGAGGTTGGAAGTTGGGGGATGCTGGGGGATGACGGAGAAGGCAAGAGGGGGGTGGAGGCGGACAGGAGGGGGCAGAAAGGACACCAGAAACTCAACGACATCACCGCCCTTGCCAGGCACAGATGGAACTCAGTCATGAAAATACAGTTCCGAGTTTTGCTGGACTGAAACTGAACTCTAAGGGCGGGTCCAAATAGTACATACTCTTTTCATCTCGCGAAATGTAACTCGATATTAACCTCGTTTGGATTTCGGGAGGACACGTGCGCGAAATTGACGTGACTCGGGACGCTCGACGCATGTGAATGCACATGAACCCCAGTCAAGATTTGTTTAGGATTCGGTGACGTTAGGTTTACGTTTTGGTATCGGTGGACACATGTGGCGCTTTGGGGTTTCGCCAAGCCAGGCTTGGCGAGGACAGGGCGACCTCGCGAACATCTCGCGTGGCGCAATGCCAAATCACACCTGCCACTTAACCCAGCACGAAACCTCTGTTTCGCGAGCTGCGACATTTGGTAACTGCGATTTGGGGCGTCTGAAGCGACCGTTTTTTGGGACGCACCCAGTTGGCGCCAGCTAATGTTTCATTCGCAATATGAGACGCGGTTTGGGGAGGAAACGATTTTGGGATCGCATTCAGTTGTCGCACCCGAGTTTGTAAAAATGTCCAAAACTCCGAATCGAACAAATTAGACCTCCCCTCAGTTCTGCAGCCACCCAAAATATTTACGTTTTGAATACATCTCTATATGTCTAAAAAGCACGCTGACACATGACACATACCTGCCCGCGTGTACAGAGAATGCACAAGCTGTTTGGGGGGACTGAACCTCCCCAAACAATTGTGGATGGCATTACTGTCGGTGAGTTTCAGCAGTACATGCGCGAGGGGCTGTCGTTGTCGTCCCGTGGAGGCCAATGTGGCAGGATCTTGTTGAAGGCAAGTTGCGAGCAGGATAGCCAGCTGTTGGCTGTACAGCACAGCAATGCTGGGGGACGCGTCTTTGATTTCTGCACAGTTGGGCGGTTCAACTGTAGTTCACGTCCAAAAACGTTGACGCGTCAGGTCCGCGTGCAGTACAAGATAGGGTCACAAGAAGAAGAAAAAAATATCGGGTTGAAACGGGCAGTGTCTTACACCTTTCGCCAGCGATCAGTCCAAGATTGTTTCGGAAAAAAATGATGCCTTCGTTAGGGGGGCTCGCAAGCCCTGAATTCGGTCGGGTCTGGCCGAGAACGAGCTGATTTGAAGGTCCCAGAAAATGCGATGCCACCCTTCCAGTCCCGTCAGCCCTGAATTCGGTCGGGAAAGCCGAGGTCGCATTCCAGGCTGTTACGGGCAGCCGAAGCTCCGAACAGAACCGATGTGAGAAGACTAGCTGCCCTGAAATTCAATCATCCAAGGGTATTTTTTTGCTTGAGTTCATATTCTTGGAACTCGGAACCTTTCCGAGTGGCGACGGCGGGGGTCCTCGTAATTTCGAACTCTCTAATTTCTGAGTTTTGTGGTTTCAATCATGGGCGTAAACGGGGTGCAGTTTTAGCTAGTTCTGGTTTGATTTAAGGAGATCCAGGAATTTCGGAACCCAGTTCGGGAAAGCTCGAATCAACGGACCCCTAGCTAAACCCGGTTTCGGAACCGAAGAAACGGAAAATTACACTTCCGAACAATCCTAAAAGTAATGGGATGAACACATATCTGATCGGATGCTATTGTTACGCGGACAGGAATTCCTACTGAAACTGATCATTCCAGCCGCTGGGTGCCTGGTGGTGAGGGGAGTCGCCGCAACTGTGCATTCCTCCAAGAGTCGCTCGCTGCAGCGTGACAGAAGCTTCTCGAGTGTGCCATTACACTTGGTGTCCACCAATTGCTTTGTTCGAGTCAGTCCCAATTGGTTTTCTTCTAATCAATATTACAAGGCGCCCTCGACTAGAGCAACGACGACATGAGCAAATTTCGCAAATAACATTCTATCCATGTAAACAACTCCCACATACGCCAGAAAATTGAAACCGACCAATGAAGCACAATCACAGCTCCGATCACAGGGGCAATACTTAGTTAGCTTGGGTTGATTTCGCAACAAAGGCTTATGTTAGGTCATAGAAAGTTTCGGAGGGTTCCGAGATGGGGTCCAGAAGTACCTAGAATTTTCCGGATTCCAAGGAAATTTCATCCAGAATCCTTCCGAGTTCTCGACATAGTAGCCCTGCCAAAAGCCGTATCAGTCATCTCCATTGATGTGTGCAGAGGACTTGACTATGCTGATTGGCTTAAGTTCTGAAATCGTCCAATTACCTTTTGTGATTTGTGATGTGAGTATTCTCGCCACCACACAGTGGAATAGAAATTCTTCTAACAGAGCTCAATGCTACGAGACTAGTTCGTCAGGATTCCAGAAAATAGTACACGGAATGGATCCGGATTTCAAGGAGAAACCAGTTGTAACATTCAGGCTTTCAGAAAATCCAAACCTCTTAAAATCCGGGTTTGGGGCTTGAACTAATTTTCGACATTTATGGTAGCTACCCTTCTAACGTAAGCCATGGTCGCAACATGCGCCAAAGTCCCCGCCCCTGAAGAGTACACTATGCCGAGATCCAGTTCATACAAAAATGATAAGTGTACGCCTCGCTCGGCCCTACGCCACCCCTCGAGAACAGCAAATTCCAATATTCTAGGAGCTTGCCCAAGTCGAGGAAGCCTTGTACCGTCCAGATACATTCAGTGTGATTCTTTAACAGTTAAATTCAATGTCGGAATTTAGGTGTACCTAGGGGAAACGCAGATTCGGACAAACCGGATAGAGGTCTCTAAATACCCCGATTTCCTTCGAAATGTCTGGAAGTGGCGTGAATTAACCTGTATGCATCCGGATTTCACTCCAACGGCCTCAGAACTTCGGACTCGCCACACCCCTGTGTGAAAATGAGTGCCAAACCACCTCCGCCTCCACACACAGATTGTGTCACCTGATAGTTGCGGGTCATTTGTTGTTCGGATGACACCTTCAGTCCGGAACCAAACTAGAGACACCCACAAGTTGTCCAGAATCGCTCGCTTTGCCACCTGGATGAATTCCGGAGCTGATATGGGATCACATCTTGAAATGCTGAACTCAGGCATAGAACTACTCTGAATCTCCATACATTCAGGGTAGCTACGCTTCTATCGTAAGACATTGCCCTCATCCCCGACAAATGAGGCGCCGCATTGTACCGAGTCCGTCCACCACAATCCTGGTGATGCCTCCAGCCATATCCGACGGGCCACTGGTTTCCCAGAAGTGGCACAAGCAAGGCGCATACCTCTTCCCGGTTCGGTCGGGTTGGTTTGGGATTGGAGCAGGGCTAATGTTTCATGGGTTACTGTCATGAATTTGGTTCGAATAATATGCATTTTTTCTGGACAGTCCGAAAATTGAAGAGTTGGGATTTTTGGAAACCCTTGAGACTGGGTTGAGCCTACAAGAGCCCTTCAGTTTTTCAGTTATGGCTCTGCTGCCCTGAGTGCACTAGTAGTGAAAAAGCAATGGGATGTAGGAGCTGCCACTCCTGCCTCAGCTACCCTCCTCCCAGGCTTTCCCTCCCAGGCGTTTCCTCCCAGGCCTCCAACCCATCGACTAGTAGGGTGTGGAATCTATCTCACACCCACCTATGGCATTTCCGACCGTCACAGAATATCTGATCCCCTCGCGAGTCTAGGTCATGGGAATTCAGCTGCCCCAACACGTCGAAGGGTCTGGCGTCGATGACCAGAAATTCTAAGGGTGACCTAAAACCAAGAACAAACCCTGATTCGGAGTGCTTCGGCTCGTTTCTTGCTACACCTGACTTACGGCTTGTTTTTCATGCCGATTGAAGCCGTAAATGGAAACATCCAAACCCCGAGCAACCGGAAAATCTTGGTGTACAACGGGAGCACTCCGTACGCTCACAACTTCCTCGAACTACGTGGGTCGAATTCGAACCTGCATTTTGCATGGGACAAAAAGTGAGCAGCATTTGAAATATGTGTAAGGGCGCGGTGCTTTAGGCAAAAAAATGCAAAACCCGCGCGGGTTCGAACTTCAACCTTGCTCTACCGTAGCAAAACCCTCTGCAACACACAAAACCGTGTACAACCCCTCTAATCTTTCAAATTTTTGGCCTTTTCCAAACCCAAAGTACCGTGCCCTAAGTATTCCAACAAATTAATGTGAATTTCTATTAGTTGTGCATACATGGACAGGTATTTTGAGTGTCATTGCCTCGAGGGCTTAGTGTGCTCACTAAAGCTTAGGGCATTCCGCGAGGGAACATATGTGGCTCCGTCATTACCGGCTAGGCGATGCCAAAAAAAAAAAAAAAAAAAAAAAAAAAGGAGGGGACGAGGTCGTCTTAGGATTGCGGAGCAGCAGAATATAACATTTTAAGATAGTCATTTGCTTCGATTGTTTGTTTTTGTAAGAAGATATAAGATATTTTGATCCCCTACCATTCAATGGGCCTGATAGAGATTGATCCGATTATCTTGCAAACAATTGTTGACTTTCAAACAATTGCGCTAACCTAACCTGAACCTGATGAGTAAAAAACGTCCTGGTGTTTTGTTTTTGCGATGAATCTTGCGTGTCTCTTCATCCCGTAGGCTTTCATTCACCTGTTTCTAGCGTGTCACTTCACCTTGCGCTCTCTGTTTCCTACCTAAGCTCTGACGTTCCTAACAGAATCGAGCTTCCTTAGACTAGTTTCTTCCACATTTTCTACGCTCCTCTATTTCCTAGACTTAGATCCTACGTCGACTGAGGGATGCGAGGTTCGAAATAGTCAGCTGGATAATCTAGACAGCGCACTATTCAAGCTCGATTTCTTGACCT